TACATGTACATACCAGACACATGTATACATGTGCATCATCATGATCTTCACTGGACATTATAAACATGAGCGAATAGGGGAGGGGGGAACTTGGATTACGTCCTTTAGAATGCAGGTTTAGAAAACTGCAATAGATGCCATTTTTCATGATAGGGGGGTTATGAAGGAGCTTGTTCGTGAACGTGCAGAATTATGGTCCTCTTGGAATAAGTTCTGCCTTTCCTAGTATTATTTGTCCCATTACTAGTAAGTATAAACACGAGGTGCCAACCCCGACCGTTAATTTGAATTTTATACCTACACCTGTTTGGAAATCAAGGATTGTGAATCAATATACACTGCACCGTTTTTCTTCAAATTTGTTCCATTAAAAGAAAACAAATTTTTCTGATGGTTACATTATACTGTTATACCGACTGAGAGTCCCTCCTTTTAGCGGCGTTTGGATCCCCAGCTGTGAGAAGCGCCTGGGGAGAAGCGCTTCACACAGCTTGGGACCGGCCCCGACAGCAATGCACCGACAGAGAGGCATTTTTGTTTACCAGGTTTTAATGGAACAAAAACGGTGCATTATGAGACTCATAATCCTTGATTTTTAAACACATGGTAGGTTTGAAATTCAAACTAACGGTCGTAGTTAGGACTCTGTGATAAATGTTTAAGGCCCGGGGTTTAAGGGATATTGAATTATTTATTAGGGGCCCTGGAGAAACCAATGTGGAGGGGTCATAATATTATAAGTTCACGTGCACTTTGTCTCTAAAACGTGTAGCTTAGCTCCTCTCAAATGATAAAGTTAATACATAGGGGTTATGCACTGGAATGTTTTGGATATAGGGAATATCCCGAGGGATATACAATATATCTTCCCGAGGGCCCAAAGAGACAAAGGGAAGATATATTGTATATTCCAAGGGATATAATGCGGGACATACGATTTATATGTCCCGGATCCTTGCTGGAGCGGGACATACGAGAAATATTTGCCCGGATCTGAAATATATTCCCGGTTGATATGTCTCTGAAACCTCATCAGGTATGGAATACGTAGTATTATGTACAGCAAGGTCTAGAATAATTTGCGAATCTGGAAGGGAGAGATTGACAAGGGGACATCCCAAGGTGGTTCCGAAGCAAATAACTAGGGGTGGAATTAAACATCGTAATGGGTAGGGGGTATCTAATCTGCAAACCCGTCTTTTTGGCTCGGTCTTGAAATTCTTTAGCGCAAATGTTTTTACGATGTTAGTCCCCGCTTTTTGAAAATTGTTAAAACACACTCAGACCTGAAAGTGGCACGTACAACAACATAATAAGGAAGTAAAGAATAAAATATCTCATTAATACGGTTGACTGTATAATTCTCTCAATTTGCCATTTCTCATTGATGTCGAGTGTTATACTGTGCGTTGGTGGTTTTCAATATTGATGGACTGGTAAAGATTATGACGACGACAGCATTTTTAAAGCTTTGACTCGTTTGAATTCCCCCCCTCATAAGTCATTCACATTCATTCAAAATATGAAAAAGCAAAAACTTTGGAAAGCAACTGACTACAGAACAGGTGTACATCGATCAATATGCCTTTTATAAAATGCCTCTTATAGCAATGCCCCGAGCAATGCAGTAAAACGGTTGAAACTGGAAGCGTAATTGAATAAAGAAGCACAAAAAGTATTTAGCTAAGGTTAACTAATAAAAACAAGCAACATTCTATCTACAATCAAGCTGTAATAAACATGTGCAATCTCTTAGCCCGGAGGGGGAGGGGTTAAGAGGATGTGAGCGACCAAACGTTTGTACAAAATCATGGCGTTTTTCTCAGTGATTTTCAAGTGATTTGGGGCCAAAATGTGACCTTTTCATTTTTTGATTAAAAAGCAAACCACCCCCTTGGCAAACCTGGCATTAATAAGTAATAAGAAATCAAAACAATAGATACTTGGAAAGAAGTAGAACTTATCACCACCGCCAACAAAGAGAGCTACATTACTAATTATTATAAATATCTAAAAGATAACGCAAAGACCATAATTATGAACTTTCAAGTCGTATAACATGTAACTGTTGGCATAACATAACGTATACACGCCATTATGATGTAGTATAGCCCTGTAACGAAAGATTTCAAAACAGCCTTCGTTAAGCTTTAATCAATCGGTCCTAACTTCGACCGTTAATTTGAATTTTTGGCCTACCAGATGCTCGAAAATCAAGGATTGCGAGTCTCATACTGCACCGTTTTTCTTCCCACTTATACCATTAAAGTAAAACAAAATTGCCTTTCTGTCGGTCTATTACTTTTTGTAAAGAGACTCTGAGTCCCTCGTTCTAGCAGCGTTTTGGTCCCCAGCTGTTCGAAGGCCTTCTTACACATGGGGACCAAAATGCCGCTGGAAGTAGGGACTCTGTTTAAGAGGATAGTGTACCAACAGAAAGGGATTTTTGTTATGCTTTGAATGGAACAAGTTTGAAGAAAAACGGTGCAGTATGAGACTCGTAATCCTTGATTTTCAAACATCCAATAGGCCAAAAATTCAAATTAACGGTCGAAGTTAACACCGCGTGTTAATGTCCTGTTTAAAAAACAATAGGCGTTACCAAGTGGGGAGGGGGGGGGGGGGTACGATGGGTGCGATAACCAATAATAGAACCATGAGATAGAAGAAGAAAAGGGTAAAAATTTTTTTTTATTTTGAGCCTCTAGCTCAATTTTGAAAGAAGTTTCATCAATATTTGTAAAATTCAAAATTAATTTATCGGTCTGTTTAAGCCACGATGCTACCCCCCTGCCGAAATTCGTTTGGGCATCACCCCCCCCCCCCCCCTCGACTGAAAGCTGGCATGATTGTGCCTTTTGAGATTCGATCAACTTGAGTTCTTCTGGGAAAATGAGGAGTCTTCAATGGTGCATCGACATAACATGGACTGGTGAAATACATGATGGTATCCCGATCATTGGAATGGTTAATGGTGTATTTGAAAAGTGCTCACAATGGTGAAAAGCTGCACGCTTTTGAAAGATCTAGACTTTTTGGCCAGGGGGGGGGGACTTTCACCAACCCTTCCAAAGGGACACGATACATTTCTCGAGGGCTCAGAGGGCCAGAGGGCCAGAGGTTAATATTATGTTGTCACAGGGTATAAAACCATAGGCCATATTCAATTCCGATCATGATATTCCTAACTCTCTTCAATGAAATCTGAAGTTCGAAGTCCATATCTAAACTTTGTATGATGAAACAAAACCAGAAGTCTTATATCATAAGTCTACAAAATATCCGATGACTTAAAATGACATTTTGAAATATAAAATTTTATTGAATAATATAAACACACCAGCATCAAAAAAATCAACGAAACAATATAATAGCGGCCAAACAAAATCGCTTGTTGCTCAGATATCTATGACTTTAATTGTGTCAGAGCATAATGATGAAATTACCATTCACATGTGTTTAATAGGCTCAAACAGAGCTTCATACTCCTTTCGTTTCAAAATCTCTTAATTTTCAAATGGGAGAAGAATTCAATTTCGTTAGTGAATTTTGAGATAAATGCGATTTTTGTGAGAGGGATTGGTCAGGACAATGTGATTTTCTTTTCGGGCGATGGACGATGGGCGGTAAACACAATATCGCGTCTTCATTACGCACCCCTTCCATTAGATTGGCAATCGTGTGTTTTCATTTCGAAGCATATCAATATTTAAATCTAATTATTTCCTCAATTGCAATGCTAGATCTAGTAGTTCAGTTATTTGTGATATTTGACGAATTTATCTAAATCGCCAATCATAATCAGGATTTGATTAGATAGGTGGCCGAAAAAGGGATCCTGTTACTAATTTTATGGAGGGGGGGGATGTATGTAATATCGACCAACGTCCAAACAATTATTTCCTGTACTATAGGAGAAAGTACTCTTTAAAAAAGGGTTTCAAAAAACAGTTTTGAATCATCGTTCTGTAATTGTGCAAAGGAGTTTTTGTTTTTAGCGTAACGTAAACTATATTTTAATTCTTGTTTGCTTAAAAAGATTAATTTCAATATGATTCGCAAGTATGATCACTGCATCAAATGTGGAATTTCTTGCAATTTCTAGACGTAGGATGGTCTATAAACTCCACGTATCTACCGGGAGAGGCAACTTAAATGAATATGCTAATTGCGTCCATAGGCGAAGCAAGGGGGGGGGGTGCAAAAAAGATAAAACCATGAGAAAGAAAAAGCTCGATTTTGAATTTGTAAAATTCAAAATAAATCTTATTTTTATGGCTTGTTCATGCAACAATCGCAACCCCGTGACTGAAAACCGAAAAGTTTTTGGCGATCGCACCCCCCCCCATCCTGAATGAAAGCTGGCTTCGCCCCTGCCCTATATCAATTAGTAATGATACATTGCATACACAATATGAACACACAGTTTTTTCATCCATTTGGTCAGACGCACAATAATAATACTATTCTAGTATCTTGCTTGATACCCGGAGTTTGATGTAACAACTTGATAGATGCCCGGGAAAACATATTTTTACTAGTTATCAGTACAGCTTGTTTGGTATTTTACAAGCTTTAAACAGTACGTGATTTATTATTCAATCATATATGTAAAACGTCATGGTATACGTGAACAGTTCGTTATACAAAATAATAAATAAGATAGATAAAAGATAAAAAGAAATTAGTATATTTCAGTGAAAATATGTCTAAATTATGAATGTTGATCATAATTGCTTATAACAATATACATTCACCTGATTCGATAATAACTTTATTCTAGATTTCAATCATTAGTCTCAAGGCGTGCCAAGACTTTTTGTCACATTCTAAGCACGTCTTTGCACTGCGTGTGCTTAGACGTGCCTAGAGATGTCTAGAGTTGGTTTCATCGCGTACCTAGACGTGTCAAAACTAGTCACGCCTAAGCACCCGGCGTGCTTAGACTTAGTTTCTAGACGTGCTTAGTCTAGAAATTCCATTTTTCACGCAGTGTATCAGAGTGACACAAAAACCATGTAACCCTATGATTTTAATTGAAGTTACGTTTTTTTCAGCATTCGCAATATCTTCTCAATTAATATGTACATAGTGAAACAAACAGCATTCCCACGTTCTTACATTTCATCTACAACTTAGGCTTTAGCTTTTTGACTTGCTCACATTTCAAATTATGTTTTTTGCTTCTTATCTTTTTATAGGCAAGGTATATTACATATCAATTAGGATGCTTCAAAATATTATGCCTGTATCATTTAATGTATTTTGATGAAGTAAACAATTCAAAATAACACTTACTGAACTACATTTTTATTATCATTTTCATACATTTTAAGTTTACATACACACTACAGTTGGTAGATAAATAGAAAATTAATACAACATTTTATATATGATACATAAAGATACGTTTAAATATGATACATACACAAGAAATAATATGTAGAATTCTTACTAAATGTATTTCTTATCAATACTTCAATGTAAAGATGGCGCACTAAACTAACAATGGCTTTTTAACTGGTTGATAAAATGATCGTATAATATACAATATCTACTGGGGCTTACATTCTCCTGATGAAGTGTTACAGTGTCCATTGCATTCTGAACAATGCACTGTCTGGGTGGCATTGAGCAAACATGGAATCATCAGTCCTTTTTGATTCGAAGATGACTGGGGACGAGCTTCCCCATGAACAAGGACCAGCATATTCAAGGTCTGACCAAGTTTTGGAGTTCACTAAGCACCAGAAGGGGCATCTAAGGAGATAGGCATTGGTTTCAACAAGCCAATACCACCCCAACACTTCAAATGATACGCTGAAATGGTTTAAGCAATGCTTTGGTGACCAGCTCATCTGTCGCAGAACTCATAACATATTGGCAGCTTATTCTCCAGATCTAAATCTCTCAGATTTTATCTTTGGGGATTTCTCAAAGCCAATATGTATACTGACGGGCCCCTAACAATCTTAAGAGGGCAATAACTACCCCAATTTGTACCATCCACATTGATATCGTATTCTAAGAAACTTATAAATTTCAAAATGCAAAATGATTTTTTTGTTATTCAATATATAAAAAATGGCAGCTGTAGATAGTAACGTTGATAAAATTATTAAGAACGATAATATTTACTTATAATGTAACATTCGCTGTAATGTGTCAGTGAGCATTAAATAAGAAGAATACGACTTTGATTCTACATCTTGTTTTCAGAGGAATCTGTTAACGTACTTCTATAACCCCACACTTGGAGATTTCGAATACTTATTTCGTGAATGCTTGGAGATTTCGAATACTTATTTCGTGAACGCTTTGTTGAGAATAATGGATTCGAGATGTAAACAAAACAAATGCGTTAAACTGTGTATTATCATCTTGATAACCACCTGACAAATTATTTTGGAAATCAAAGATGTACAATTTATGAGATTTTTCTTTTCGAATGTTGACGAGTTTACTGATCCTGACTGAGTGGCGGATGGTATGCTTAAGAAGATATAATACCTTGGAGGGTCGCATGATGAGAAAGGTCGTGCACCTTGAAAGGTAATTTGGAGGGTAATATACATTGTACATTTACGTAATAATACGGTGTAGCCAGAGAGACGAACACCGTGAAAGGTCATTTACCTATGGTTTTCCAAGGTTGTATATCTAGAAAGGTCGAAGATGAAATGCAATGAATCAAATGTCAATATAATAATACCGACGCATTGTACACAAAAATAAATTGTTGACATTAAGCAGGCAAGCTTTTAAAATTTGTTTGGCTTTATTTTCCTTTAAAATATTTACAAACATTTAGCCGACTTTCCTGCCAGAATTGATTCATATGTTATTTCAACAAACATCTCTATTGACCAAATCTGAAACCATTCCAAGTTTTCTTTGGACAATTGCAAAGTTGCCTGAGGATATTGACAGGAAACAAAGGCTTTCGGAAGTATATTGAGATGTATATGGATTTAAATGGTAAGTTAATCGTCATGTACCGTTGACATTGTCATGTGCATGGTCACTGACCAGCCCGACGATTGGTATCCACATCAAACATACATGTACTAGTACGTTCGATATTGGGAAGAATAATGTACGTCGATGATTGTATTATTAGACGCAACTCGTTTCATCATATTTGGATTGCAAATGATACCACCGTAATACTTTAACGTGGTAATGGATACCCCGTTTGGCATTTCGTGATTCTGTATTATATCCTGTACATAATAAATATATAACAATAGATCTGTGCCGCAAGCTCGGAGTGATAGAGAAACACTGGCATTCACCATACTGCTTATACAAAAGCTAACTCGATTTATGAGAATCGATATAAAAGAGATACGGCGATCGCATATTTCAAGGATACTTTATTCAAAAATGTTATGGAATATAAATAAATGGATTTACATTGAATAACCTTCACATCTGCCGTTTAACTTATTCCAATAATAAAATCCCCCAACCTTGATTGGGAATCCAAATTGGAAATCCATCAATATTGTGTTTTTCAGGTGTTATATTGTGTTTCAAAAACAAACATTATACTGTTTAACGGCCACATGTAAAGATAATCGATAGATAAACAAAGGATAATAGTGATGGATGATGGAGCATTGTTAAGTGAACGGAAGTTAATCAATGCTTCTAAACTAGATTCTAAATTTATCGCAATTACTGGTTTATCCATGTAAATAAAACTAGGCTACTTAGCATATCAAATGGAATAACACTTTGTACAATTGCAAAGGAAAAAGCAAGTGGTTATCTCCGGACGGAACAACAGCCAGACCCGCCCAACTGCTTTAAAATCACAATATTTACAGGTACGGCAAATCGGCACGGACTGACAGGACGATCTGTATGCATGCATGTATTTATTTGACAAAACATGTTTGTACATCTGAACACATTTGATGAATGACAACAATTTTTCAAAGGAAAGTCTTAATGACCAATGATCTACACATTAAACAAATAGCACGGATGTGTCAATCCCATATCAACTAAATCTGTTTGACTCCAATATTTGGATATGGTTTTATTTATATCACTGGTCATGATAACGACTGTAAACACTTATTATAAGGAACATGTAGAATATTTTAGTTTGACCATGTTATACTGATAAGTGGTCCATATAATTGATTCACATACAAGTTCAAGAACTTATTGACTCTAAAAGATGCCCAATTGATCTTGAACGAGACTTTAATAATAGTCGAGTGAATAAGACACTCCATATCGATTCTAGCTTGGAAAAACAACACATTGACTCAGCAACACTTTATTGAGACGCATTTCAAAGCGATGGACAAACTTGATGGATTTTATATCAATTTGGCTATTATGTCCTTGAAAAACTCATTCTAAACGATGTCAAGCATGGATAGACTGGATAGACACGTCCCAAAGGAACTGGGTACCATTGCCCATGGGCTACCAGCGAGTATTCCTACCTTCGCCCAGAGACAACGTAAACGTAATAAAGTATTGCCACCACTTAGCAGACCGAACTCTAAACTACAGCGGATTAGGTCGAACTCAAAAGGTAACGACCTTGAACCCTTATCATCAAAGTCAACATCAATGAAACTGGATGTTCCTGAAGATAAAATCGGACGAAAGATAAACAGACAAATGTTTACTCATACGGCCAGCAATGATATCGCACTTATGGGTGTGCTTGTTACAGCGTTACCAAACCCGTTGCCGAGGATTTCAAAGCCATTACCATCAATACCTAATGAGAGAAAGACAGAAGACGGTACCACCGCCATTAAAAATGACGAAAGTACAATTAGTGAAGGCGTTCGAAGTGCAATCGATGATTATTTCGCAAAGCAAGAATTAGTAAATGAATTTCAAAGGGCTAATCGAGGAATTAAGATTACATATAGACACCCAGCATCCCTTCCTGATATCCCATATAGATACAAACGATATACAAAGGAGAAACTCCCAGCAGGAGGACTGGATACAAAGGATAAGACCACTGTTCATGATACTGAGCTCAAAGAAAAACATATAACCCCTACTGATAGTTACACAACGCTCGAGACCAGTAATCCCACTGGGATAATATCAAGTTCAATAAAGCCTAACCCGATTTTGGACTTATCCTCTGAAAGGCTTGATATTGAAAATAGTCAATCGTTCAATAAATCCGATTTCAATTTAATATTGGATAATTCAAATCTCGATATGATTGAATCAAATAGTAAAAATAACATAGAGTCTAATATTGTAGAGTTAGAAAACATCGACACTACTTCGATAAACAAAATGGAGACTGAGAGTGCAAATAAAATACCAAAATTGACAGTTTCTTTGACTCCATTAAAAATAGCGGAAGATTCAATCACACAAAATAACGACACTCTAGCTCAAGTTGAAACCGATAAACCACCTAGGCCGTCTAGACTAACGCTTAGTCCGATTTCGACAAGAAGGGCCAACAAGATGGTTTCAACTGTGGATTTTATTAAAACTGATCAACTTAAACTACCTCAAATGGATATACAAACACCAAGAAGCATCAAAGGGACGTTTAATCTCAGAGCGAGTACAAGTTCTGAGAGTTCATTTCAAGATCTAGTTCACGAGGACATGACAAATGTTGCAACTCCGTTTCGACCTGCAAGCGATCCTGGTAGAACACTCCCTCCGTTGAACTTTCAATCAACATTACGGGAGGACGATCATAAAATGGTTCAAGGTGATAAAGACTGGTTTAAGGTGCTAAGCGATCAAGAACTGACCGAGAAGATTACCCTTAAAATGTGTGAAGACCCGGTATCATATGACACTTTTGCAAATACACGGATCTCTCCGAGAGGAGCGGATGTATCCAAACATAGAGACGAAACAACAGATATTACAAATACTGTGCAATCAAATGTCGGATTTATAAGGACGAAAAAGGGAAACAAACGACCTAAGAAAGGTGTTTTTCCCATATTTGATCAGAATCCTAATGGCCCATTGCAACGGGTAGGCGAGAAAACTAGAAAACGTCAAAAGAAAAAGAGTGCATAAATATTAAATCAGGAGACATAGCTGCAATTTATATGTTTATGGCAAAGCAATAAATTGTTGTTTTTTTCTTCAAATAAATATTATTTAAAATGAACTGCATTTTAAAGGGCCTTGTTGGATTTTAAAAGAAATTTATAGACGAGAGACTAGAATCAGATCTAGCGTATATATTGCTTCCAATTTTGTAATCCCATATAGAAACGTTTCATGGTACCTGCTCAATACCTGTATATTGATTGTTTGTTCTTGACCAATTCTTGAGTTTAAGATAATTTGTCCAAATGCCTTGAAACGCCTAATACCTTGATGTTCACCTTTGACCTTGAAATGACATTGGCCCAAAAACCTCGAATTAGACCTCAGGTCACATAATCATGAGTTGTCAAAGGTCACAATATTCTTCAAGATTCTTAAAACGCCAAACACTTTATATATTGACCTTGAGATGACCTTGATCGAAAACCATAAACCTTGACCTCAGTTCACCTAATCATGATTCGCAAAGGGTATTAAAAGTCGACCTTTGACCTTGAATTGACCTTGACCCCAGGTCACCTAATCTTGGGTCGCCAATGGTCACAACAGTCCCCAAGGTCCTAAACACGCCATGATATCGTCCTTTGACCTTGAGATCTTGACCCATAAACCTTGACCTTGACAGCACCGAAATGCATTTCCATATTTTCAAACGAAAAATTCCCAAAATGATCGAGATATTTGTTCGAATCTTTTAAAATGTTTATTTGAATTTAAGGTTGGTTTTAATTTTAGAAAATAACGATAATTCGACGTTTCCCTTGTTGGAAAATATCGAATTTCGATCCTGGAAGCCAATCTTCATTGACCTTTTACCAACAAATTTACCTTTGACCTTGAAATGACCTTGATCTATAAAGTTGACCTTGACCTCGGGTCAACTTATCTTGAGTCACAGCACAGACCCAGGGCATTAAAAAGCCATATACCTAGATATTGACTTTTGTCCCTGAATTGACCTTGACCTCTGACCTTCGTAAAGTGCCTATCGACCCACTTAGTATGTTGACCAAGTATGAGGCCCCACGGTCAGATGGTCACGGAGGAAATGTCTGTAAGAAGACCATTGTGCTTTATAGTGAGAAAAACATATACTATACTTAGTCTAGTAAATGTAAACTGCTTTTAGGTTTAGACCTCTAGAAAGTCATTTCAGAGAGAAGAGAAATTATCAACAAAACCATTTGCGAAAAAAACTATTGTCCAACATAAATGTACAGAAAGAAGAAAAATTATAGAAGTCGATATTTTCGACACGGAAAACTACGAGTAAAATTTGGGAGCACATCAAAAGTTCAATGTCGCACAAAACGCTTATGTTGTCAGTTAAGTCCTAGACTCCCTCCACCTCCCCCTATTAACTATATATGGACCATGTTGACACACGAAATTCTTAACAAAAATATATCATTATGTACCTTGTTCACCTTTACGACAAGAATGTACCTGGCTAGGATCTAGAAAATATGTCCACTCCTAATCCCTACATGTACGTATAACATGAATTAGAGCAAACGGTGGGAAATAAAAATGCGTCTAATGAATTAGTGTATATAAAAGATGTCGCCTACATTAAGATTATTAATTTATTTCATAAATATGATGTTTTAACGATAAAGCATCTCGATCTTCATATAAAGTTACAGAGCCATTTCTCGTCATCGAAATTCTGATCTCGGGTAAACATGCAATCTGCATATTTAAACAACTGTTTTATCTCTTTCCTATGCGTTTGATTAGACTAAAAACACATGGTATGCATAAGTTAATATCTGCCACTTCTAAAACAGTATATAGAATCTGGGATAAGCATCACTGTGTGCTGGTGAATTACTATTTGGTATAATAGTCTTTTGGGGTTTTTAGTCGTCGTGACTCGTTTTTACCACTACCATTCAAAATTAGTGTAATCGCTAGATAAAGGGTGTGGAAAGGTCAAATCAACTACTTGTCAACCAGCATCGATGTTATGTTTTAGTTGATATACGAATCTTTTTTATCTTTTTTATCTTGATGTAGAATAGCAAGTCATAACTTCAATGCTACGGCTACATGAAATCTACGAGAATACCAGCATGGTAGCCACTAAAAAAACACTTTTCCATAATGTATATGAAACGGATAGGATTGGTTGGTGTTCTATGAACCATCAACAGTGTGCAACAACCATAAATCAGAGATCTAAAACATATGAACGATATAAACTAATCTACCTTGTGATTTTTCATCGCTATCTTCTCAAATTAAACATAGTAATCTTCAAACAGTTTCTTTATATTTTATTACATATCTCAACCGTTCAAGAAAAGATCAGTATGGTGGCATATGGGTACATAAATTGTAGGGGTGGATCTGAAAAAGAGGATGGGGTGGGGGAGGGAGCAAAAAGGTTCCTTTATAAAATTCTGTGGCCCCCACTTTGAAATTCTTTAAAATAGGCCCAAAATTAAAAAGAATACCTAATATATAATGGCAGTTTGTTACCCAAATTGCCAAATTTTGCAGTTTTTGGGTCCGTCTCCATCGAATATCGGCCACTCTTACTTAAGATGCAATAGATATGTTATTAAGTTAAGAGAATTTGCGTTGTACGTGGAGACGTGACCCATTCGGATCAATGTCCCTCTATCAATTATTTTTATCCAGGAATCTAATCGCTTTTTGTTTTGTGCTTTTATGGGAAATAGCAAATTATAGATATACACCAACATATGATACGATAGCAGAGCCTACTGTCAGCATTTAGGGGGGGGGGGGGGTCGGGGATGAGTATATAAATTACACAATGCATGCATGTAGGGAAGGGTGTTGTGGAGAAAGATGTATAGCTGTAATACCATTATTATGTGGCATGTTTTCTTGACAATAACTGGGATTTTCTGTACCTGGATTCAATACCAAATTGCTCTGAAATTTCCTGTCTAAAAATATTCATAATAAAGAAAAGAGTGTTTAATTCGTATCGATATGCAAATATGAAAATTGCATGGTAGAATTAGACTTATTATCTTGTAATCTTGAATTTCCAATCTTGTGATCGATCGTTGCTAAAGTTCCACCGAACTAAGTTCGTGCAAGCATTTAGAGAAGCCTTCCTTCTGTACGTATGTCCTTACGATAACTCAAATACCGTTTCCAATATGGCTGCTCGATTCAAAATGACTGCCATTTTTTTGAAAAATATAATCATTAATAACTCAGTCGGGTTTGGGTCAAAGAATATAGGCTGATGCCAAAGAGCATGGAATATATGTCACAGAGGATTTATTTTCAAAATGGTTTCCAAATTCACAATGGCCGCCATTTTAAGGAAATAATGTAATTTTTGGAAATCTAAGACAGGTTATCAGATTCAGCTCACTTAAAAAAGGCCAATGTAAAAAATACAATTTCTTATAGTATTGTATGACTTTTATTCCTTCATATATTGAAGTGTACAATATTATGCTATATATTTAGTTAAAAAAAGAAAAACATGTATAATCTACAATTATTTACATTACATCATTATATCATTTATGATTTAATATATAGTATATCATGATAATAAACTATTATTCCATTCTACGAAAGTAGTTTTTGGGGCTTCATGGACTATCACTTGAGCTTGAGAAAGATGTCCAGATATTCACCTTAATATAATTAAAGATTTGTATGGATATAAATGATAATTTTTCAAAACCATATTCCTATAATATTTATATCTATTTCATAAAGAATGACCCATGATATACCGCAGTCGCAAATTAACTGACAAAACCTTCGTAATACTGTTCACTCATACAGCCTTATAAACTTCCTGGTATTGAAAATACCCTTACACTTCGGGGCTCTTGTTGTAGCTGTGCCTCCTTATTCGCGATTACAGAGTTTAATTGGAATGTTTTATAATTGCACTACACGGCCGTAAAAAGGCATCGATCATTTAGATAATATTTACATGGTGAGCCAAAAAACGTCCACATTTTTTATCCGACACTAACTTTTTGATAATGCATATTTTTCGAAATGTATTTTACTGAGCATGCAGCAATCCAATCTTAAATCGTTTCTGATTTGTGATCTATGAACTTGCAGCAATTTTGGGATAAGAAAGGTTAACAGACACTGGGGGTCTTATTTTTTAAATTACAATTTTCAAGATAATATTCAAACAGATATATTGGCCATGTTTCAAATAATCGTACCAGATTCACATCATCGTATACAGTCAGTCAGAGGGACATGACATGTATGATGTTTACAGTTAAGCGTTTTATATACCTTTAAGAAAGATGAGATGGACTGGTTCAACATCAAAGCGAATTCTTGGTGAAATGAATTTTTAGCAAAGTTTTAATCTGAGCCTTGAAAGAACATTCGAAATATAATCCAGCGTTAAGCACAAATAAGATATTGGATTTACAATTTCCTGTAGAGGCGGATTTCCCCAAATCACCATTTTCTTAATGACAAATCAGTTTTTCAGCTTATTTGTCTTATGATACTTCTAAACAAATATTCCAGAAGAAACTGAGCACCATACCTTACGTGTCGCTCTTAAAAACTGAATAACAATTGCAAATGTGATTTCTGCATCTCTTGCGAAAAAAATTACCGAAATCATGGGCTTTCAATTGAAAGCCCATGCCGAAATCCATGCATTTTCAAAAATGTGATATCGAAATCAAAAATATGGAGTTTTTTTGGCCGACCCTGTACATGTACATTGTACATGTATAAGTGTGATATAATAAAAGCGTTAATTTGATTTTTACCACACAAAGGGAAAATGATGCGATGAAAATTCAAGACAATATATGGCTGAGCGACTACATAAATTTCGTCAGAATCCGGGTCGTGATAACATCGATCATGGCTCAGCCTACACGCCTGTTTCACAGAATAATGAGCTAGTCGGGATGGGACACAATGAAAGAAACATGGCTACATATACTGAGAGAGAAGTTCCGAGAGTTGCGACTGGTCGTTCAAACACGGATTTACGGACAGGGGAATTATTTGATTTCGAACAAACACCGCCAAAGAAAGACCGAAGTGGGCACTGGGGACGAGTATGGCGAGATTTCAGCGGCTCAACAACGGTGCACGGAGTCCGGCAGATAGGAGAGAGTACGCCGTTTTTCTTTAGAAGGTATTGCTACTGAAATCACGAAAAGTCATAGATTTTGCTGATTAAAAAGTTTGAATGAAAATAGCATAAATGAAACAATTTAAAGCACGAAATGCAAATTATTGAAGCAATTTCAAAATTCTAAAATTAACTAAATTACTACATAAAATGGGCAAGAATGATCCTAGCTGAAGTTGTGTCAATCGAGGCAGGTAGTCTATTCGTTTTAAGAAATGCCCCTGTCGCAATCTAATTGGTTGTAACATAGTTGTGATGTATGAGACGATGCGGTGTATATTGCAAACCATCGTACTCAGAACACTACACTCCCCTCCAAAAATTTGGCAACCTTTATTCCCCCGCTGGATTACTTGTTCAAGCCTTTCTATGTTTGAATCCCGATTTACACAATCTTTAAAGAAAAAAATAAGACTGGAAATATAAATTGACGTCTTGAAAATACCTCAATTTTTTCTAATTTTTTCAACAATTACAATGGGTCGGAAATTGATGTTAAAAATGATGAATTATTGATGTAAACAAATGGGGGTTTGTCATATGACACAATATCCATGCATCCTTTCGAGTTCTCAAAAAAAACAAGTTAAATAGACAATTAATATGCTAATTTTATGTAACAAAGCTAAAGACAGGCTTCTTCAGGTTCAATAAAATCTCCATGATAAAATTATTTTTCAATGGGGAAGAGCGTGTAGTTTTTACAAGATATTTCAACATTTTCACACAATTATCTCGAACACGTCATGGTAATGTTAATCGTCCTCTTGCACGATGCTCATTGGAAGCCTATTATGACCCAAATCAATGTTATCGAAAGAGGCGAATGTCATACAATAGAAATGATCGTTTTTCCATTCCCTTTTTTGAACATATTTTAACAAAGGCTTCTAAGAAATATCTGGATATAGTAATCTAAATATAAAGCTTAAATGACAATATGTGTTCATCAAACATTAGTACATCTTATTTATTATAATTTAAACATTTATTTTCATGGATAAGTCAACAAGTAAATGGAAAACATAAGCCAATCATTGTTTAATATATTTCTTTGCTATAAATCAATTCGTCTGGGTCGACATGACCTGTATTACTGACTGGTGATGTGATCATCACCAAATACACCAAATTCTGTTTTTAAATGAGTTGTATTGCAAAAACAAATAAAAATGTTCTCCCTTGATTTCAAGTATGACCTTTTGTGCGTGCAAGTGCACAAAGTTGAGCTAGTCATTTGAAACTTCTTGTAGAGTTGTTCCATGAAGCCTAGTTTTAATGTGAAAAAGAACAATTCAGATATCATACTGTAGACAAAAAAAGTTATGCAACATTTTGTGGATGTTAAAGTTGAGGGGGAAAAACATATTTGATTGCCAACCTGTATATAAATTAGAGATCATGGTGACTTTTACCTGACTAATCACATCTTATTCAAAAGCAGCAACCCACCTGGCAGTCTTTGTTAATCATCTAATTGAGAAAAATCAGATTTCCTTAAAACACGATCGAGTAGGCTCATAAATCTCTAAGCAGTCCGGCGCAATTATGATGTGATTTTTCCATTAGCAATGGAGGGTTATTAGAGTACAAACAAAAGATTTCTGGAAATCAAAATCGAGATCTTATTGAGTAGGCCTATCTAATTATTTATTATTTAGTTGTTTGTTTGTTTGTTTGTTTGTTGATTTGTTTATTCATCTATTATTTATTTATATTCATTTATTTACTTATTATTATTATTTATTTATTCGTTTTTGTGTTTATTTACTATTTATTATTCATTTATTTCGAATAATTTATTTATTCATTCATTTGTTTGTTTGTTTGTTTGTTTGTTTAGTATTGCTCATTTAATTTGTTAAAAACTAAAGAGCATAAAAAGAAGAAAAATAATAATGTCAACCATAATATGTACCATAATAAATAGACAATGCATGTATAAAACAAAAAATATAAAATCCCTGATGATTAAACAGTGACACATCTTTAAATCGTACGTTTTATTTTAATTTATTTTAATTGAATGACTATTTAATACTTGAGAATCAACGTCTATATTCAATAAATGATTCGTGTCTCATATTTATTGTACATAAGTCTATTTATCTTGGCTAATGGAAGGTGGTATTGACATTCTGTGTTCAATGTCTCAATGAACTCTAAGAGCATCCCATTACATACTTTTCTAAATAATTCAATTTTCTCTAATTATCGTGCACTTAGATTTCAACTGAACAATCGTATAGTCACGTGTTTTATGAATATTACATGAACCTGAAGGGATGAATTAGTGCCAACGTATTATTTCTTAGTGAAATCAGTCATCGGTATAAAACGTGCGTTTTTATTTTCCCCTTCGAATTCCTGAAAACCCTTACAATACATTTAGGCACGGGCCATTTTTTATTTATGTGGTCTAGAAGAAATAAAATTAAATGATCTATTCATGTTTCTTATCAATTATATACGTGAAACTTTTACGTGTCATCGTGTTAATTAACCGTATAAAATAAAATAATTCATTCAATAAAGGCGCAAAAATCCATTTCAAAATATCGAACGATACAGTAAAGTTGAGTTTTGAGTAGAGATTTCTCCAAACAATTTTGACTGAAATGTAAAATCTTGTAGGACGAACCTCAGACCTCCGACATTTATGTCGAATTTGTCAATGTGAACTATGGCCCGAATTTTTAGAGAATATCATTTTATTTCATATAAATAAGCAATGAATTCTTTAGTTCGATCCAAATATTACCTCCTACAGGTCTAGAGTCTCTTAAATGGCTATCACCTAACTATAAACCTTTCTTTTATTTCTAACGAATTAACCAATACAATCGTGTAATAGAGAACCTGATTGTACAGTTTAGACATTTTATTTCTGAACTCTGAGGCTGCAGAATCAGAGGTAAAAAGGAAATGGGGGGGGGGGGGCTTTTGCCAATCAAATGATCGGAGTTGAAGCTGAGGTTAGGTTTGCAATATAAGTCCCTGTCTTTGGATATCGTAAAAATCAAACATTATGCGAGAAAACGTTGATCGTTCAAATTGATATTCGCATATACAGGGCTGGAAGCTGGTGTATAATTCTCATTATATCAACTGTAAAAACATACTGTTTCCGACCCTATGGGGTGTCTATTAACATAGTATGGTCTCAGATTGAACGCTACGGGTACCCTGTTGCTGTTGTCTCTGACGTCACATACTTGAACTAGTGTAATTATGAAAATACTTGGAATACTGAGAATTCTTGAGATGAAGTGATGGGCAAAAAACGAATTTATGAGGTTCACTCTTCATGGGAAAAAGTACATTAAAAAGTCAAATATCAAATATAAGTAAGAGATTCAACGTATCGTTACAAAAAGTTATCGCGCAATTATTTTCAATGAATAATTCATACAATCATGTCCATCGGAGTTACTACATTTTATTTAACTTATCACATTATCATTAAATTTGCACAGTAAAATTCAGACTTTTTGAGCTTATGTATTAAAGTAGGGTTCAATATGTTCCTGAGGAAAAGATTCTCATGAAAATCAATTCAGTAAATAATCTACTGCATTTTGATTACTAGAATATGATATAATATTGCACTTCGATATTGACATAGCATAAACTTGAATATTTGAGCACTAAAGTTATGGCATACATGTAAAAGGTTACAAGTAACACCGAGTTAGCACTTACCATGGTGTGTAGGCAATATATACAACGAGAGAAAGATAACTTTTGGAGGTCAGTATAGATTTGAGGAAACAATTATAAGAAAATTTGATTTGAGAATAAATTGGGATGAAATCAACAAGAATAAATATTTACACATACTAAGTAATATGAAATTGATAATACGAATTGACTCAGCATATTTTTCTCTCATATTTAACACAGGATTTCTTCAACAATGATTTTTGGAATAAAATGACGTACAGGTATTATCGGCCATTTTGGACTTTATGGAATTTTGTATCTTAAATTGCATCAAAATAACGACTGCATTGTTTGAATAAAGTGTATTATCCTCCACTTAGTGTACTAAATGTATGATAACATGAAAAAATAAATTTGATATTTATTGGCAAAATAAATATCCGGAGGATATCGTAACTCGGTGATATTGATATGTGCACTCGTTCGCTTCGCTCTCTCGTGAAGATATCAATGTCACCTCGTAGATAAAAATGATATTCCTCAAAATCATAGGATATCCTATAATTATTTGGTTATCGATAACCTTATATAGATAACCTTATATAGAAATCATTTGACATATTCCTTGAATCACAGTTCAAATTAACGGAACCTTGCGACTAATAAATACTCGTGTCATTTCGCGGACAATCTTTTTACGATGCAATTATAATATTTCATCTCAGAAATGACACTGAATTTTCAACCTGAGTCTAATGGCGTTACAATACCCGGGAATTTATCGACTCGTACAGTGCATGTCTATGTTATAGCGCCATCTTTAGCTCAGTGCGATCTTGTAGGAAATTAGCCCCAGTTTCCAATTTGTATGTATTCTTTTGGTTTTTGGAGGAGACAAAAACAATGTTTGCACTTTGCAGATTGCCAATAACTCTTGCATAATTCATTGAAAAGGAGGTGTCCCCTTATTTTGCCATCTGTAGAAAAAGTATGACTTAAGATGGACAAATCGTGGCCTACGACGATGAACACTATCAGTACCAACCCGATCTCATTGCGACCATACAACCTCTGTACTGTAAACCATTAGGATTGACAGTTAGCAGTGATCCAATCCAATAAATCACATCTACTCAACAGGCACGAATGATTAACTTGAATTTGTTATCACTTTTGAAGAACAAAGTCTAACGAAGTTAAATAATTATTTTTGGATGTCTGGAGGACTTTTGACTTCAGAAATACAACAAAAAGCTAATTTGGTACCACTTGTAGATTTATACCAATCATGAAGGGCAAATTATTTATAATAAATTTGACACATGATTTCCCGAGATGAAAATAAATAGGAATATTTTGATATAAAATTCCGGTATTAAGTCTTACCGGATATTATTTGGAAGTAGCTATGTATTTAGTATAATTATATTTTGTTATATGTGACCCACTAGGGAATTGCATACTTAGTCTGATTCTCAACTGTATCCGTATTATAGGCTATTACTTTCAATATTCAAGTCTTTGATCACCATTCACCATTCAATTGTATTGTATTAATTTTTGTTTTCATTTCCATTTTTCATCAATTTACTTAAACGTTATACTAGAATGTGGAATTCGATAATTACTTTTAACCATATTGCTATTGATTAAAATAAATAACTTTATTACGAGGACGGGTTTACAAATACATTTTAAGTCAGTTTAGTAAGAAGCATTATTTGGTGATCATTTGTTTTTCGGGTACATTCGATTCTTATACAAAAATCGTTCTCATTATTTGTCACTAGTTCTTGAGTTAAACAAGTAGATTCGTTCAAGCAAAGATCGTTCTGCTTGGTGCCGCGGAACAAAGCAATTAATCATAAGTCTCTTTTAGTTTTGATGATACACTATGGTAATCAAATTTTGGTTTATATTCCAATTTTTGAATTCATTAATCTTTTTTTGTATTACTAAAAAATTCGGTATTAAGGAAAAATATAAGTCCATGAACATGTCTATTACTTATTATTTGTAGGACTATTGACATTGAACTTGAGGTAAACACGGTCTAAATGTCAGTAGATTCAAATAAACATCTCGACGGATTACTCTGATAAATCGCAAGTCATTTAACTGTTAAATAATAAATCTCACGGGACTAGATGCAAATGATGCTAGAAAGAACAAGTGGACTTATCTTTTTTCTCATCAATCAAATTCGCAAGGGAGTACAAGTACATGGTTCATTTGCCCATAGAATCTCTGCTAAACGTCATCTTAGGCTAATTAAACCAAAAAAGGCGAACCAGAATTACCGATATCGTATCATTCACTACCTCGTTTGTCAATCAGGCATAAATCTTTTTAAATTCTCACATTACTATCCACAACTGGATAACTCTGTTATACTGTCGTATCATTCAAGATGGTGGCCAAAATTATTTCATTTTCGATAAACTTCTGATTTATCTCGCCATGCAAACTAATGAAGCCATGATTGTAAACAGCCATAAGAAAACATTCAAACATCCGCGATATTGGAGACATTTAAAGAAAAAGACCTCACTTAGAATGACTCTAAATGAATTTGATGATGACGTTGGAATGACACTATCTGAAACGGTGGATGACACTAACTTTATGGAACGAATACATGCATTACAATTTAAGTTAGTGTCATCAATGGTGAATATCATGTTTGAGTTAGTAGAGTGTATCATCAACTTCAGTTAGAGTCATTCTGAGTGAAGATGTTTTCTTTAACCCTTTCACGACGATAGGCTCCATATGGAGCCCTATTATGTAATACCTTTCAGGACGATAGGCTCCTTTTGGCACCATTATTTTTTATTTATATACATCAATGAAATGACAATATCTCCAGTTCTATTTAGTATTTTTACACCAAATTTTGACAAGTTGTTCTTATGTGATAACCCTTACTAAAAATTGTATATCAGTGATGAAATCCAAGGTATAGGTCCCAGGGCATAGGTATTTTGCAGTTTTCCCCTAAAAAACACTCTTACTTATCCGTCACTGGGGACAACATTTTCCTCTTATATTCACGTCGGGAAAGGGTTAAACTTCTTGCTCATCCAGCTGTGGAACAGTGATTACCGTAAGGTATAATCTTCGACATACCTTGGCAATACTATTCAGACACGGTTTTCAAATGGAACAATAGTCAAAATGAAATATCTGGTATTTGCAAGTCTATTCAATATAGAACCAAGTGCATGGTATTCAATCCACTTTAACGTCAGTTTTGGTAGATTGATAGAATGGCAGTGTATTTTAGCAGATTCCTTTGGGGAATTCCTGGGGACGCCTCTGCTTCAGAATATCGGAACAACGAAGCCTGGTGATGCATATACTGCATGAATATTGAAAATGTTTTCATATATATCGCATCTCTTCGTATGTCTGATTTGGGAGATTTTATTATGATAAAGTAAATTAGACTTCTATTACTCAATCAAGTCTGGCTTTGTTCTAAAAGAAACACGAGCTTATCTTAATGTTTTTCAAAAGGTCATATTCTAAACATTTTTGATAGTTAAATCAATCCATTCTCTTAAGATGCAATATTCCTAAATAAGGTTCAATTAAATTAATTTGTTAAGCAAAGGCCATTAACATTATATGTCCTTGACTGGTTAAAACGTATCTTTTTATACACCATTCGTTCAATGTTTGATTAGATGTTTTAAATATTTCTAGCAAACATATGTCGTGTCAGCATGAAATTCAATCATTTTACTGAATACCTTGTGCAAATTCACACCATTTCTTATATTCTTAATTGGATAATAAGAGTTCCTCGAGAAGGGTCGGGGTGACATCTAGATTAATACAATACACACAGGCCAGGCTTACTGTTTTGAAGATACCAGATGCAACCATGGATATCGTAATGTTACCTGTGGTTGTGCTACTATTGCGCATCGTAGTACGCTTGGGAAACCATCTTTCAACACATGGTCTTAAAAGTAAACGTGTAGAGATAATGGACGTTTGAAAATAACATATGTCACTGGTGATCCACTCGATTACGCTGGTTACCAAAACGAACCGTTTTGGTAACAAAATGTCGGAACATCCGGAAGGTACGATTTTTCTCGTTTTCTTATTTTACACGTTGTAGGCAGAATTCCCACGACATTGTTTAACATAAACGTGTATCAGTACCATATGTTTAAGAAATTGTACATATTTGCCAACAAATACTTCAGAAGACAACAGAATCGTCGATTTACTTCCTCATTTAAGTTACATAAACGGTTTGGGTTAAAAGTGCAGATCTTAACTGTTTTTCGAAAAACCGTTTATGTAACTTAAGTGAGGAAGTAAATCGACGATTCTGTTGTCCTCTGAGATATTTTTTAGCAAACATGTACACTTTCTAAAACATATGATACTGATGCACGTTGTGAGAAAAAACGTCGTGGGGATTCTGCCTACAACGCGTGAAATAAGGAAAAAAGAAAAATCGTGCCTTCGACGTTCCGACATTTTGTTACCAAAACGGTTCGTTTTGGTAACCAGCGTAATCGAGTGGATCACCAGTGTATGTGTGAAAGAACTCCGAACAAACAATTGCAAACAGTGATATCTTGGATTGTAGGCATCATTCCGACCTTGGAGACAATGCATCATTTAAATCAATCAATTATACCTCCCCGAGAAAAATATATACACTTATAATTGATTAAAAGTAGAACTCATTATTTAGGAGCAATCTATCCATAATAATCTCAAAATCAAACATATCACTGTTACATTTGTTTCAGTTTAGAATATCCGTATTGACAGCATTTTTGAAATAGTACGTTGCTGGATTCACGCCCCTCTTCTACCGGAGTCTGATTGATCTGGTTATCGTTGTTTCTAGTTTCTTGCAGATACTGAAAGTATCTACACATGTGTCCGACTATTATTATCATACAGGTTGTTTCATACTCTACGATCTTTTTTCAGAATAGTGTTGGTCTGGCATTTGCCTTTTGAATACTTTAATTCATTTTTTATAATGAGTGAAACAATACAAAGTATGATATTCAAATAAGGAGCTTTTCTCTCCTGTGCCACCCTGTCTATTACACTGTGTAAATTCTATTTCCAGAGTGATTTGGTTCTTCTTGGTCGTAACAGGTTTTGCCTTGTTTACAAATCAACTGGTTACGAGCTTTCTCTACTACTTTTCCTACCCGATGTCTGTAACAGTGAAGATCAACTACAACACAACCCTGACATTTCCAGCAGTAACTGTGTGCAACCAAAATGCGTTTAGGTATGCAGTCATCCGTATGAATACCCTTTCTTATTCTTGGTTTTGATGTATTTTCTCAGCCAATAAGGCAGGCCTATTCTGGGCAATCCTCTCTGTAGTAATTAGAGTGTGATACATTGCAAGTAACATGGAATTAGATAACACAATTAATTGTTTCTATAGAATCACTATAAAGATATGAGAAAATCAAGAGCCACTTAACCCAGACTGCTTTAAGAATTCAAAGTCGATATACTTATTTCTATTTTCAAGGGCAACAACGATGGAAGAGATCGGTTTGTACGAAAATCTCACTGATATGTACAGTGAACATGGGTCCGGTAAAGTTAGCCAATCATTCAGAAACCTATCACTACTCCATCTATTCAAGACGGGTGGTCATCAGCTAGAGGACATGGTATTGAGGTAAACATAGTGACATTACCCATAATCAATATGGTTATTTGTTTACAATCTAACCAAGAAAGATTGGGTCCCAGGGACGCAATTCGATATTTTCCAACAATAAAAATGTTAGAATGCCGTTATTTTGTGATATTATAACTGACTATAAATTCATCAACAGTGCAAAATATTCGAACTAATATCTCAATCATTGCTTGTATATTTTGGAATGTTTTGTTCGGAAATAAGACCAACACTCGCGATTTAACATTCTAAAGTTAACAAAAAGTCGCCTGTTTGAATTCGAATTTGGTAATCACGACATCTCTATAGATGGAAGAAGATCGAGTTGGAACCCTGGGACCAATCCTCCTTGTAATCTAGCCCATGCGTGCCTCAGTTTACCTAATATATAGCAACAGTCTGTCCTATATTTTTTTACAGTAATAGTTTTACAGTTATACGTTTAGTTATATAACCTTAAAATAAGAACAATACAACTATAGGAGAAGTATCAGCTTAATCAAATATAAAATCTACTATTGAGAGTATTGTAAATAACCAGAAGCAATGTTTCTTGTTCGAAGGAGTGTGATTTTGAGTGACTATGAATGCCACCAATAGATGGCACATATATCGGGGCTCGATTTTGTGTTATTTTATATTTGTATACAAGTTAAATGTTATCTGCGAATATGCATGATTTAACTTTTGTTTTTGGAAGCTACACATGAACTGAATGAAGCAATTAAGATTATTTCTTATGTTGATTTAACTTGTGTCCATTATATAGCATGAAATAATTTCAAATTCTGGTTCACCATTAGAATACAACAATTTTGCTCTATTCACAAGACATGGTAAATGTACAAAAACTGAATGAGTGGATTGATTTTTTAGTTCTCCTGTGGTCAGATTGACCTGAGATGACGTCACACTATCGATAAGCCTAATTGCCCTAGGTAGAAAAGTTCATTAAAATTAAAAAGTCTTTTAGTATGAATGATTAATGAATCAAAATAATATGATAGCAAATTAAAGGAATTTCTGAAACGATAACCGGACAATATTGTTGTGTCGCTTCGCAACGGTAAAATGTTGTCTTGGCTATTGAATCGGATTGTGTTGTGAAATAAATTCACTGTCAATTTAACACGATGAAATGTAAATATAAATCAGTAACAAACGCCATTTAAACAAAAATAGATACCCTAATGCAAATACATCGGAATTAAAAGAATCCGTGTAAGTTTTAAACATTAGGCCTCAATAACCCAGATGCGAGTAGAAATAATCTTGATTTACGTCATTAAAAATTCAAAATTCAGTCAAAGTAATATCATATTTGAAATCTACATGTAAAATTACATCTAGAAATGTGGTTTTAAAAAGTGTTTATCAACTTTGAAAAATTAATTTTCTTTGAAAATGTGACTTCTAGCTCGGGGAGATTCCCCATAGACCCCATGCTATAAAATCACAAAAAATGAAATATCTTTTCTTTGAGTGGACAGATAATATTTTGCTTTACTGGACATATTTATATTAGTATAAGTATCAGACACATAAGGGTTATATGAAAATTGAGCCACTTAAATTGATAATATTCAAGTTTAAGGGAACTTTCTTATATACCTGCCATGTTAATTGACCCGAGTCAGCCACCTGGTGGTTAAACTGGTAACTACCTACTCGCATTTGGGTAATTAATAATTGCGATTACTAAAGTATGAAAGAATGATCCGCAAATTAGAGCCGTGGATATGAAGAAGAACATCTTAGGTAGAAGTCAAGTTATGTTGGTTTGTAAAATATAGACTATTCTTAACTTTTTGCTCCATTCTAACGAATGTCGTATTCCATGTTCTTATAAAACAAGTCCAAATCGTGTGAAAAATCACTTCCAGAACAATTTCAACTATTAACACTTGGTCACCGTGTATTCGTGTTTGGCAAAATATTCGACAAATAAAGTTTTGAGATGAATATCAAACAAACATTTAATTTCTATGGGCCTTAATCTCCAAATAATTGTTGATGTTTCAGCTGCCATTGGAGTGGAAGAGAATGCAATCCTGATGAAATTACGACAACCTTCACGGATTACGGCACTTGCTATACATTTAACCATGGTAGAAACGGTAAACAAAACATTTCTTTAATCTACAAAGGCCACATATATCCAACATAAAGTACACCAGTACATAATTTTATGTAATTTGATTTAAGGGCTATCAATAATGTCTACAAAATAATAAAAAAGTAGTTTTAAAAACTGAATTGTGATCATGACAAGTCAGTGAGCTGATCTGTACAGATGTCATATTTTTCAACGATAACACGCCCTTTCTTCTAAAACTGTGTTTATTTGGGATATCTGAAGGAGAATTTCGAGTCCATTTTTGTGAATTTCAATGTATGGTGGTAGAGAGATAGGGGATAGTGTCACATTTGACTGATTATTTAAAAAAGAAGATATTTGACCCCTTTTGAGTTTTTAGCGTATAAATGTAGCCTAGACAATGCTTTTGTACCTCAGATAGGTCAGTGGGGCCAAAACTCGATATAAAAATTGCCCATTGACTTGTATAGTGATGTGATTTAGCGGTGTTTTGCCATACCTAACCGGAAATAGTAATATTTTGACTGCACTTAATCATATTGTTTCCAATAGGTATCCGTATTCTAGAGTCAATTCAGACTGGTTCCGCGTATGGACTTAAACTTCGGCTAAATGTTGAACAATATGAATACATGAAAGGTCCAAACAGTGGCGCAGGTGTAAAGATACTCATTCATGACCACAATGAAATCCCGTTAGTTGGAGATCTCGGACAGGCGATACCTCCAGGGATGCAGGCATTTGTCGGCGTTCGTATGTTACAGGTAATTCTGTATTTGAAGTAAACAGGCTAATTTTTACACAATTGGTGAGTTTGTGTCACGAAAGTACAGGTACGTTATATCCATCCATATCTTGTAAAGTATCGAACCTTGAATTGATCCATTCAATGTAAATAGTATGAGGTTATATAATGGTTCATTCTGTATATCGTGTTTATACTCGAGTGAGTATATGATATATTCACAAGTGAGCGTAGCGAACGAGTGAATATATTATATTCTCACGAGAGTATAAAATGCACGATATACAGAATGAATCATTATATAATCTTATTATGCCACTCTAAGTTCAACTACAGTTGATTCGAACACAATCATAACGATTAAAAACCATAAAAATATCCCATCATAGCCAACTCAATAATGCCGATGTTGATCTCGAACCATTTATGACGTCACTTGATTCTAGAAAATCATGCCGGAACCCATTTAAGACGTCACTTGATTCTAGGAAATCATGAAAATTTTGGAGCGTCGGAACTCCTCATTCGCTCCGCTCATTCGAGGGACACAACAGTCTGTGTAACAAAACATACACGTTGTTCTTCGCTCTATATTCATTAGTTCCCAGAATGCACTTCTACAGTGGTATACGCTGGAGTGTATACGGTGGAGTGTATACGATGACGATATACCACTCTCCACTATATATCGTTGTTATAGACCCATGTTATACAACTGTAATTTGACTTAGAGTGGTATAATAAAGAATACACCACTTCATCATGATGGAATCTTCCTGGTTGTCTAAACACAGTTCTGACCTTGCGAACTACGTTCCTTGCACTCGAACCACGATTCTGACATCGCGAACCTGAAATCTTTAGTCGCACGCTCGCGATTGTTCACGAGCACATATATCAATGCGCGAGTGGAGAAATATGTTCGGGAGCGAGGAAATGGTGGTTCGCGATTTAACATTTGCGATGTCAGAATCGTGGTTTGAGTGCAACGAACATAGTTCACGGGCTCAGAACTGATGTTCGCATTGGTGGAAGTCTAGGGGGCCTGAATATGAGCTGGTTCAAATCTGATTGTAGCTTCGAAATCTTGAAAAACCATATGGGGAATGTGATGACTCTATGCAACTTGAACACTTCGATAACTACTCCATAGCCGCCTGCCATGTTGACACTAAGGCAAAATACATCAGTGAAAAATGTGGATGTAGAGATCTCTATGTACCACAACATAATACTAGTAAGTAATGAAAATAGACAAGCCAATGTACATAACAATTAAAGGAATCCACTGAGTGTGCCAATTAAATGTTTGTGTCGATTAATCTTAAGCGAGGCATGTCACATGATAAGTCCATCAGAACTGGTGGAAGGGGGGGGGGAAGAGAAAAAGTTTATTTTCATTTTTTGGGAAAGATGGAGCTTGTTTCCATTATTTCTGGTGTACACATAGATCTTTTATTTTTCTTGCCGGGCTCTGTAACATGTTTTGCTCAATTGCATTTGGCCTTGCTTATACAAATTCATAAGTATTTCAAGCAAAAATACATATTGTTACTATTTTGGATATTTTTTAGAACCAAAGGAATTGTGCGACGTCTACACCTACTTCAACTGCGTAATGGCATCTAATGGTATAATTTGTTTTCTAGTATCAGACAAGCATGCACCAGTTTTAAAGTATGTTAACATCAATATCACCAATGCATCAAAATAAATTCATAGGTGGAACTACATAATAATTACACAATTCCCTTATGTAAAGTTTAAATGTTTGCGAATAGCAACCTTGGCAAACAACACCAACAAACCTACTGAGCAACAAAATTATATGATGAACCAATAAGGTTGTTAAAGTACTCGAATCTTCTAAACTATGGATTTGCCTAAATTTGATACTTAAATACAAAAAGATATGAGTGTAAATTGTATGTGCGATGTCTTTCCATCATTTGTAACAAACAGTTCGCAAATGCTTTGTTCTGGTTTCAGTGAACGTTGAAGCGCTGAAGGGTAGAAGTGACTGTCCAATACCATGTATGCAGATGCAGTTCGATACTGCCATAACATATGCAGCCATATCAAACCACGACCTTGATAGCTATCTAAGCCCAACGCTGAACAAAACTGCCTCGGTGAAGAACAACTTTTTGAATGCAAGAGAAACCCAGCAGAGAGTAGACGAGGATATTGTTAAGCAAGACACATTGTTGATTGAGAATTTTGACAAAGCCATGGTTAATATGGAGAAAGTATTGCAGGACGTTGTCAAGCGTATTCATAGGTTATCGATGGAATTATCAGATTTGTATTTTGAAATGTCCAGGAGAATATGGTTTCACTACAATCGTGGCCTTGTGAAATTACTTTCTACGATGGACAGGAATTTCGTCAGAGCTTGGGAAGTATTGAACGAACGCTCTCTTTCACATATTACAACAGGATTTTACGCATTTATTGATTCATTTTCTGCCGCAGTTAGTCATTTGATGGAGATTCCACTAAACAACACAAATTGCAGAGAGACTCTCCAAATGATCGTTCAGCGTGAGATAACCATAAAGCAAGTCCTTGCTGAGAGAGGCTATGACAATATGACAAGGATTCACAATGTCTTTGGAAACGCAGACCCTTGGTTTGTCTACGAAAATTCTCCAGATAGACGATATGATCGAGTGTATATATCAAAAGATATGTTCAAATACTCTGAAACTGGTGAACAAAAAGAATACTCTGAGATTCGAATAAACATAAACGATTACATGGATTGCCTCAAGAATTTTACAGAAATTCTGTCAGCTGTGATGGAGACAAATGATGCCAATTGGACACATATACATGCTACACAGGAATTGTTCGCCTTAAAAGGAAAAAGAATCAATTACCGATTGTATAAGTATGAGCAACAAACAGTACTAGTCACAAGTAAAGTAATTCAAAATAACATGGATAGTTTTAGAAATTTGAACACAAGTTTTTTTCAAAGGGTTGAGACGTTAAATCAACAGCTGGTAAGTTTGACCACATCTGCAGTAACACTAAACACTTCAGCATTGTTGACTCTGCAACACATCGCTATATTGGCTAACCAATATACAGAACGAGGAATAAACAAAACACTTTTAGCCAAGTCAGCTTTACAAGAGGAAGTATCAGCTGCTATGCAAGCAGTTAATCTATTTTTCTTAGATCTGAGATCACGTGAGCGTATCATAAATGACATATGGATACAATTAAAAGTAGACGTCATGAAAATATGGTCAGGCATGTTATCAGAAAGGGCATTGTTTCCATTTTATCAAAAAATAAAAGACGATGTAAATATAGTGCGTCAAAATGGAAGTCTTTACGAAAAAGATATTTTCCGAAGATTGCTACGAATTCCTAAAAATGATACAAATAGAACTAGCCTCATACACAATAATTGGGACATATTCTTAAATGCTGATTTTCCAGATATCAACTTAAATGATAAAATGACAGGAATTCAACTTCAATACAAGCGCATTATAGATCGATTTAATGTTAAGGAAGTCATCAGCAATAAAGATGACGCCTTGAGAAAAGCGTTTGCTGATTTACTCGCATCACTGAAAGACTATGAAACTAATAATGAAATCGGAGCGTCCTTTGTTAAGTAAGGAGATACATTATAGTTGTTTTATACTTAATGGGTACACTTTTTTAATAAAAGCCGATACTGGGGTTCCATTTTGATACGATCGTAACTTACGATTGGATCCTTCTTTTCTTTTTGATTAACAATGAAATCATAAGTTAGGACAGTTTAGAAACGGACCCCTGTATACGATGTAAAAGTAGTCCAACTGAAATTGTGATTTTCATTAGATCACGAATGTTATTCACTGTTTTATCACCGGTATCATTTTATATCGATTCAAACTCATAGATCAACCTCGTTATCACACGATCTGCATGTTTCTTCTGTATGCTATGCATATCTTTAGACTTGTAATTCAGAAATGTTGAGTCACACTACTTTTGAAAATTAAATTGAAAAATATATATTTCAGAGAAAACTTTCTACAAATGGATATCTTCATGAGGGAACTAAATTACGAACAGGTAGAACAACAAAAGGCATATGATCTAACAGCACTTTGGAGTAAGTCTGATAATTTTACTAAATCAAATGTAATAAGATGCACGAGCTTGTATATCATGATAATATATTTCGGTATTCAGTTAATTACATGTACATATATTAAGCTTTTATGGAAAAAATAACATGGCACTTAAAAAGTATTATAAATTACAGTTTCCAAAATTGGAGAAATATGTTTTGTGTTACATTCCAGGTGACATTGGGGGATCTCTTGGTCTGTTTGTTGGAGCTAGTGTTCTCACCATTTTTGAACTACTGGACGTTGTGATACATAACTTGCTAAGAGTGCACTGCACTGGGCAATGAATCTAATACGCCTCATTTCAAGTTCATGACGTGACATCCCGTCACGTGATGGTGTAAAATTTTACCAACTAACGTTGTTCTGTTTTATTGAAAAAGGAAAGACATACTGCTGTGCATACATAGTGGTTTTTAGTAATTGATAGAGCCCTTGGTTGCAGTAGGAATAAATAATGAAACACAGAACAATTTAGAAATATTAGATACACTTATAATGTGTTCATGAATACTTTGTACACGATTTAGCAAAACTTAAATTATTAGCTGACATGGATGACTAAAACGAAAACTCTCATCAAATAGAATTGTACATTTATTACCAATGGTATTTGGCCAAATACATCACCTCGATCATCCTTTTTTAAAATCCGAGAAACATTGAAATTTGTAGTCGTCTTGGATACACAGAGTAACAGCAAAGCTCAGACCCATTCACCAAACTGGCTCAAACAGATCAAGTCTTACCAACTTAACCACATTGAGCCACACATTACTGTCGTGAATGTTATATGCTTTAAAATGTCATAAGACTCGCTTGATGTGAAATTCAGGATCCTGGATATGAAATTGAAATCGGACTCCCAGTAAACCTTTTACGACCTTTTAAAGGCCCGTGTGTTTTCATCTTTCAATTACATAAATAGATCAAATGTTTAGGTCAAACTCTCGGTCAATGCAAACCTGTGTAAACATATACTTATTATTTTATTTTCACTTTGTGATATCAATACTTTGCTTTGAGACTTTAGACCAAGGTTTAAACGAGCATGCAATAAGCGAAAGCGAGCAATCATCTTTAAATTTACCACTCATAATTAAGTGTGGTTTTAGAATCAAGCTGTTGGTAGACTTCTACCAATTATACTTTTTAAATGCATCTCACATAAAACAAACTGATACGTTAAAATGTTACACCATAAAAATAATATGAAAAATGAAGTCAACGTAGTTGGTAGGTACATGCATGTTGAGGGGTACATCGCCCTTGCATTTGAACATGATCCAGTATTAAAGATAGATAACCATTGAGCAATCGGCCTGACCAAAGGTTCCTTTTACATTTTTCCACCAATTATATTATTGATTTGGAAATCTGTCAATAATACCATAAACAACTGTTATGCGTAACACTCAGTATCGCAGGACTAATTTTAACAACAGGTAAATACTTTTTACTTTAATTTTACACTCTACATTCACTTAATTGTGCACTTTAAATATTCATGATAACGAGCTAGATATCAAAATTATTTCTTCTCACAACTTTCATTATATATTACTCTTCATATCACAAGACTCATGTTTAGTTTCGGTGTTTTTTTCAACGAAATCACATCATAGTGTTAAATTTTTAGCTATTTAGAGAGTGAGTTCTGCCTAGCATTAATTTCAATAAAAAAGTTAAAATAGAACCCTATTCGAGAGTTAATCTAATACTTACATTACATTAAAATTTTGATTTTGATTTGGTATTAGGTAACGTGATTGAAAGTCATGTATTTAAATCGTTAAACAGGTGTCAGGGGATACCCCTCATCTTTCCTGATATGGTTCTAAAGGCCTTATATGGATCTATCACGTGACATTCAAAATGATATTCCTATATAGGCCTTATATGGATCTTTCAAACACGTGACCTAATACAAAATCAAAATCAAACTTTTACCTTGACCCTTAGATGGGATTTCATAGAAAATATCCATGAAAACAGATCCTCGTGTTTTGTTTTGCACCTACATTCGATCATTTAATTTCACCCCTTGATGGAATTGTATGAAAGAAGTTATGAAAACACATCATCATGTAAGGGTTTTCAGCTTAATTAGCTCGTTTTATCTTGACCCTTCAATTGAATTTCACGGAAAAATAGTTTATGAAAAATATCATCATGTTATGATTTGTATTTGAATAATACCGTTTCATCTCAATACTTGCCAATGTATAATATTTCATAAAAAGTTGGATTGGATTTACAGGATTTGCCTTAATTTATCAATGTAATGTAAGTATTAGATTAACTCTCAAATAGGGTTCTATTTTAATTTTTATTGAAATTAATACTCGGCAGGTCTCGCTCTCTAAATAGCTAATAATAATAAAAATTCAACCCTTGAATGTGATTTCGTTAAAAAATGTGACGCGTCTAGAATCAAATGATTTGTCCAGAACCTCTTAAGATCCTGTTTTGATCAATTGGTCAAATGCCTCTTCGCACCTTTAGAATACCTAACAAAAGCATTGAGAATTTCGATGATCGAAACCTATACCAAATTGTGATTTTTTAGTTATATATCACTAGACTGTTGTTTGAAAGCTTCCTAGTCAACTCGTACCCAAGACAACTCGTACCCAAGACAACTGGTACCCAAGACAACTGGTACCCAAGACAACTCGTACCCAAGACAACTCGTACCCAAGCTTATTTTCAGTATTATGGGTGCATATTATTAAAAAATTTAGTTTGTAATGCTTTCATGTTATAATGTGAATCAAATAAGCCTCAATATTTTTTTGAATTTAGACGACATTTTTTCTCAATGGATCAGTAAACCATTTTTTATTAAATAAAAGAAGTGCTTGAAGCGCTTGTTCTCAACATTTTTTTGTCAAACATATATATAAATAAATATAATTACGACATTAGATTTGACACTTCCAAACACTCATAAACATACAATATTTTGAAAATGATTATAAACATATGTCTCTTCACTCAAACATCCTGAATCTGTGACCAATATAAAATAATAGTCAATATAAATTGACACTCAGCTCAAAATGTCACAAAATTAAATCAATTTCTTTCAAAAATTCTTCTTCAAACTTTAAACTATTCTGAATAGTAAGTTACAATTATAATATGTGTATCTATTCACATTCCCAGTCCAATGCTTGATTCAAAACAAAATATATACTTGGGTACGAGTTGTCTTGGGTACGACTTGTCTTGGGTACGAGTTGACCAGTTACCGTTTGAAATGCTGCTCTTTCACTGTATAGGTATGTTGAAAGCAATGGATGTTCCAAAAGTATTCACAGAGTATGCCGTAAGGGAAGAGGGGTGGGAGTTCATCCCCAATCCAGCACTATATGCTGAAGTCGCAACACCAATCCAAAAAGTAAATACAGATGCATTACTTAAAGGTAAGTGATTGTGAAACTTAGCCTGAAAGAAACTCAAAAGTTACAAACATTTTCACATTATGTTGCCCCAGCTGACATTGCCATATATATATATCTTACCTTAACTTGCAGCGATATCAATATTGCTGACCAACATGTCCCTTGCCCTCAACCATTGCTTCGTAAATTTCATTGAGCTAAGATTCTAAGTCCTTAAATGTACATACTTAGATTACCGGAACAAAAACATTTAAGGACTTATTAGTATATGGGTCCCTTTGTTCTCCATTGTATATTGTCTTCATTGTACAGATATGTATATCATACAAAGAAATACCATAGCTTTATACAACCAGCTCTTATTAATTGCATAGCAATAATCCTGAATCATTATATTGTAAAGGGAAATTATTGGGTACATTTCCAGAATTGTGTTGGAGTTATCTGGATGACGTCATACTAGATATTGGGTGCAACAACGGTGACGTCACTAACATGTTGCTTTCTAAAAGTGATCAAATACAACACATCACAGCATGTGACATCTTAGGTCCTTGTATTGAGTATGCTAAGAAGGAAAATGATAACCCTAAGGTAACATATTTAGAGATGGATGTATCTAAAGAATGGACAACAAGCTGGGAGAACAAGTATGACAAGGTACATGTATAATGTCTGAATTCAATATGTTCATTATTCCTAATTATAAAGTCAGTAAAAGCTTAACATTTATTATGTTGCATCTATGTGCCAACAAAACCTGATCTATGCATCTATGCCTCCCTTCAAAAGTTTGGCACATAATGGTTACATTCGCTGATTTTGACAAAGGAGTGGTATCGATATGGTGAACTTTTGAACACGCGTTTCTCTTAAACCGGTCATCAAAACATTCTGAAAATTTTACACATCGTCAGTTTAATGGTCATCTTTTGGAAAGTAACATTATAATTTGAAATATATATATATACTTTTCTTTATATTGTTTTAGAAAACACATCAGACACTTCTTTCGTTCTCGGTATCATATGTTCGGAATGAAATGAATCTACCCAAACTTAATTGGAACAAAACGACTCTCTCAATTTCGTAAGTGTACAAAGGAAAGTTTGGTTGATTTTAAAAAAGTATCTTGTTAATGAAATAAAGGTTTAACTTAATTTTTATATATTTTGGAGGGTTTTGTTTTAAGTTTTTGCATACTTTTTGTTTTTTTGTTTAATCAACCAAAATTTCCCTTGTATAACTATAATATCGAGAGGTCTAACAATATGTTGTATATGCTATTTTGTTCCAACAAGGTTCGGAAAGACATTTTATTTCATTCTCAAGAATTGGTAGAAAGGAACAAAAAACATCTGCACTAAAAACAAGAAATGTTAACAACAAGCTTATAGTTGACATTGACCTTTGATCTTTTATTAGGTATTCTCAAATGAATGTTTGAACATGATACTGGACCAAGAGACTGTGCTAAAGCAGGTGTTCAAGAGCCTTAAACCAGGAGGTGAATTTGGAGCTTCATACTTTTTACAAGTGGAGGGTCTGCAAACTGCAATTCTTACTCTGATGGGGAAAGACAAATGGAGAAAATATTTTCAAGGTGCAACTAAGGATCTGAGGTCATAGCCAGCGCAAATGAAAATATCAAGAAAATGATTTGGTGTGACAAGAAACTTTTTTCGAAGCGTCTTGAAGAAATAGGATTTCAAGTAAAAATGTGTAAAATTGTTCAGTCCTGGTATTTTCCAAATGATCTTTATTATTTTCTGAAAAATATTTTTAAATTATTTATGCAATTTCAGAATCAGATTCCTTCCAATTTACAAGATGAATTTATCAAGGAAATGGTTCCCATTGTTGAAGAAATGGAGAACAAAAAGTTTCTTTCTCTTTTTTTTCAGAATAGTGTATCAAATATTTTTATACAAGACGTATCTGATAAAAAATACCCGTTTTGCACTGAACTTATGATATTACACTGTGTCAAACCCAGCAATTAGTCAAGCAACTACCCACGCCTGTTTTCATAAAATGTTGGCCTACAATAATGAAGCTTGCAAACTATGAAAATTAAATATTCACATGACTGATTGCGTACATTGGTGTCTAAGCCGGTGTAAAAGGGTAGGAGGTCCTATCAAATTATGGTCCTTCTTTCCATTGATTTATATGGTGGCCTAAATACAACTCTTTCCCTTATTATCCTATCCACAATCAGGGTCAGTAATGGCCTTTAAGAAAGGGGACCATAATCCCCAGGGGGCCATTATTTCTTTCACACCGGTTTGAAAGAGATTATGGTCCCCCTGGGATTATGGTCCCCCTTTTTCCAAGGCCGTTACAGCCTCTGATTGTGTATAAGATAATAAGAGAAAGAGGTCATCATATAAATCAATAGAGAGTAGGACCATAAATGAATATAACCTCCTACACTTTTACACCGCATCGACTGGGGCAAAAATAAACTTGATAAACTATGCTGATTTGACTAGGCTCTTTTAAAGAATGTTTCTGTTAAGAAAGGTTGGCGACGCCTACAGTATGATCTTATTTGTGATTCATCCCTCTTAGTGGCTCTGCCATGCAACCCCTCCTTGGAATACAAAACATCATTATGTAATATTTTATATGCATAACAGTAATTAATGTAATCAACTTGCACCAAGATTGTTTCATTTTAATACTATTTAATGTTATTCGTATGAAATTTCAGTGTCTCAAGGTTTTGATAATTTATGTATTTGAGTGTCTCAAGGTTTTGATAATTTATGTATTTAAGTGTCTCAAGGTTTTGATAATTTATGTATTTAGTGTCTCAAGGTTTTGGTAATTTATGTGAGCAATTTAATTTTTGTAATTATTCATTTGATCCATTTGTACCAATGTTCTTTTATTTCCTTGTTTATTTAATGCAAAAAGTGCACTTATTAAATAGCAGTTCAACTTATACATAAGACACATTCACGGGAATTATTGACATCCGATAATGAATTATACTACTCAAAACGTTAAAGATCAGTCTTTTAATTTCTTCATAGGTTTATATGGTTAAACCCATGTATGTTTGAACTCTATTTCTAAGACCGAAATGAAAGAAAAACTGATAATGTAAATGGACATGTACCTTGACTCTCTTCTATATATTTCAGACATGTTTAATTTAATCTCTCCGTTACCATTCGTCCAAATTGATGTTAAAGGTCCATGTGCAGTATGGCAGGTTATTTTAGACTGTCATTTCTTTCACTACGATTACTTTCTGGGCATAAATACAGTCATGTGGTTTTTATTTAAAAAATATGTCGTTTTTCAAGTGAAGTCCACATGATCTTAAAAATATCAATCTGACAATTTGAAAAATTATAAATAGGGACCCCGCGTCAACAATTTTTTCAAAATGTTGAACTTATTTGCTCAAAAGAGGATCTTCTTTTTCTGATTTTTATTGTATGAAAACATTATTCAGCAAGGGGTCTAAAACATCTTCAAGAGTAGAATGGTATTGAACGTCTAGCTTTGAAGATATCAACTTTCGATGGCCAAAATCATGTTGAAAACAATGGATAGTTTAGATGAATTTACCTTTGGGAAAATAACATGGGAAATGTGGTTTTTAACTTTATCGCATTTCTCAATAACTCGGTATTGGAGTGAATCCCATTGCATTTCTTTATTTTAGCATATTGATTCCTTTAAAATGTTAATGGATAGACATAACATTTGTCACTGTAACTTTCGATGTTTAATTCTTCTCATTTTCCAATACTTTGTTGCAACAGTCTTTGCTGCGATCTTGAATAAGCTCAATGATTTGAAACCAGGCCAGTCCAGAATGATATAATGTATTGAGGTAAGTTGTTAATGATGTACGTGATACATTGTCAACATGTTGGAACTAAATTCTGATGACGAGACATGACATTATGTGTTAACTTTTTTATGATTTCATATTTTAGGAAATACTTCAAACGGGAGTATGACTGAAGCTTTGAATGACTTAATATTATTGTCATCTAACAATGCTTTGTTAAAACAGTCCTGGCTATTAAAAGAATATTTGAAATAATCCAATTAAATTCTTTGTTTGCTATATTAGATGGTGTAAGTCACCATCAATAGGTAATACAAATGGAAAGTTTCCTATTTATAAATTGAGAGAGTATTTTCATTACATCATGAATTTATGCATATTAATTCTTAATATTGAAATCATTAGATGCAACACCTTGAATATGTTTTTGTGTTGTTTTTGGTTAATTTTCACTGCTGTGTTAAATGTTTAATATTTTTATACTCCATGCTAGATGGGATATAAAGATATATATATAATACTATGGTCAGCGCAAAATGTAATTAATGTTGTATTTATGTTTATTTTTGTTTGCTACTAATGGCAACATTTTAGAATACAAATCCACTATCGGCAAAAATGATTGTTATATAACATTATGTAATTTATAATAAAATTACGTTATCATATTATACTGTATAGCCAACAGCAAGCCTACTAACACCCCAGTCACATTTCCTACGGCGACCTTGCGGTCTATCATTTCTGCGGCCAGTAGCTTTTCTACGCTCGCCGCAGAATTTCTACGCTCTCATACTTTTGCAGTCACATTTCCCACGGCAGCCGCACGGTGAATTTTAAATTTCTATTGATAAATAATAGTTTTTTTTCATTTTATTTACATCCGGACAATTTATAAATGTTATTCAAAGTGCTAGGATGTAATATCAAATGAAAAGTGATCGTAAAACATTGACAAATAATGATTCAATCTTGTTGAGCCAGTTGATTTCTACGGGGACCTCAGAAATGAACAAATATTATAACTCCGAGTTATAATTTCCACGCCTTCCATGCGGCCTGTAAAAATCTGCATTCGCCGTACGGAGGCCGCAAGGCGAGCGTAGTTTTTCTACGCTCGCCGCAGAAATTCACCGATTTAATTGATCTGCGGTCGACTTGCGGCCGCCGTGCGACAAATGTGACTGGGGTGTAACACACCGCAGGGAAGGCGTAGAAATTATAACTCGGAGTTATAATATTTGTTCATTTCTGAGGTCCCCGTAGAAATCAACAGGCTAAACAAGATTGAATCATTATTTGTCAATGTATCACGATCACTTTTCATTTGATATTACATCCTAGCACTATGAATAACATTTATGAATTGTCCTGATGTAAATAAAATGAAAAAAAGTATTATTTATCAACAGAAATTTAAAATTCACCGTGCGGCTGCCGTGGGAAATGTGACTGCAAAAGTATAAGAGCGCAGAAATTCTGCGGCGAGCGTAGAAAAGCAACTGGCCGCAGAAATGATAGACCGCACGGCGGCCGCAGGAAATGTGACTGGGGTGTTAGTTTTGTTACTCTTACTTTTGCCTATCAAAGAGCGCGAGTACCCAGAACAATACAGCTTTATGAATACGTTTAGACCTGACATTATATTTAACCGCATATAGACTTAGCTTGTATTCGCGAGTGTGAATAGCGGCTACCGGCTTCCGGGTTGATGGCAATTTGATGGCAAACTCATTTAAATATGAATAGTACCTGCCGTGCGTCCAATTAGTTGCCAGTTCTAGCCCAAGACCCAGAAACTGAGCTAAATAACAAATTAATCTGGTATTAAAGCAAGGGAAAGATCAATACCCGGTGATTTCAGCGGGAAGTGGCGTTTCGTTCATTGGATGAGCTGCGCGCGCACGCATAAATGTGATTATCCAATATAATTAGGGGAGGGCTATTTGAAGTAGTTTTTGGTCTCAGGCGCGACCCAGGGCTGTTGTCTTAAGGACATTTCGTTGAAAATGAGCCATTCGGCTGATAATTGGTAAGAGTTTGCGATCTTATAATGTATAACTGTTACTCAGACACATATTTTGACACGATTCTGTTGGAAATAAGCTTTGAACCGAGAGATATTCACGATTGATATGCACATTTTTGATTGTGCCATTGCTTTTCTATTGCACAACCCATGTATTGATAGAAGAAACATTAATAATACAGATTGGTTTACCTTCAATACATGGCAGACACTACATATCGGTCTATTAATACCAGTTTGTGCCTTAAATAGTTTTATATTTCCATCCACGGCCTGGAGCCTGGGTGTGTTTGTCTCTTATGTGTATGCTTGTGCATTGACTTCTAATCACTTGCAGAATTTAGCATGATGCAAACTCGACATTATAACTCATGCTGTAACATTTTGACTTCGCTGGAAAACAATAGGAATTATTTTTCTTGCCAATCAATCATGAATCACAATCAAAATTTCAGAATGATCAATCAGGCAATGATCCGAACCAAGTTATAACATTATATGATATTCAGCAAGAAGTCCGGTAGAAATACAGAATGTTTAAACATCAAAGCTGAAAGTTAAAAGCTAATCTGTCAATTTTCTGTCTGCAAAAGAGCGTCCCAAGAGCGTTTACATTTGACACAATAACAGACTGAGGCCTTGAAATCTAGGATTCCCCAGGAAAATATGACGTCATACTAATTAGCATAAGGATTTCCCTATTGGGGTGGGTCGAGCCTTGTTCGAAAACACAATCCATAAATACATGCTAATTTCTAAGGAGATGGGAAGTGTATAACGTGTTTATCGATTTTGTTTAAAGATTTAATCAATTATCAAATTGTTTAAGTGGATAAAGTGGTCACACTTGCTTCAATTCATAGCGAAATCGACGGATAGAAACTGACCGAATTCCCGATATCCTACCCCGTATTACTGTAGGCTATAAGCACAGTGACCTACAGAGGGCGCTATCACAAACAAGTACTGGACGAACCGATAAATTCCCGGGTATTGTAACGCCCTTGATTAAAGCAGCAACTAACACCGACTATCGAGGTGTTCGGAATTGTAAAAAGCGCATGCGCATAGACGCAAAACACATTTTAAGTTTGTTTGACCATGTGACAATGACAAAAAAGGTCACATGATCACTGTTAGTCGACAAACGGGCTGTTCGATATTGCAACTTCAAACTGACGGATTAATTTATGCAAATCAATGGGTTAATCCGGTAGCCGCTATTTGCATTCGCGAATACCGACAAGCTTACTTACCATTTCAAATTATAGTAAAACATTTCTACAGGGTTACTAAATTATTAAAATGTTTAAACGTGTCAATATTTTATATAATTGTACCCTAGAATATACTTGAATTCTTGAATAACATGATCTCTCGATTAATTTACACCAGAGGAAATAAAATCATTCCATGATTGCCTGCAAAGGATAGATTTTTTATAAACTCATGCGAAATCTGACTTCGGCCAACTTTTCAGTGGTCGAATATGTCATGCCTTTCCCGGGCGCCATTTCAAGATTTTAACGCCAGCAAAATAGGACGACACTTCTCACAGGTGATGCACTGCAATCTTATATACACCTATCACAATTATCACCCTTTTCTGGCTAACAGATTGATATATGTTGTTTAAGAATCTCCCCTCCCATATGTTTCTTTGACATACTTTTGACCTATTTTTAAGATGTTAATACACCTCCTCGAAAGCTTGGAATGACCAATTCTAGGTTCCTTAGTTTTTTTTTACTATACCTCTGTAACATTAAAAACGCCAGGGGTGACCCCCTCCCCGCCTATTAGTGCTAAAAAAATACGTTGCCTACTATGTACATGGGGGATAAAGTTTGCCGCATACGAGGCAGTCTTTAAAAAGTAGTAATGAGTTTTCAAAATTTTGTCGCAGAAAATTTTCAAGCAAATCCTTTTCAGCCAGTTTTACTTTTTAGCTTCGCTCCAGTTGTGTGAGCAATTAACAATGCTAGATGTCAGCGTAATAGACATGTGGTGTATTCCCGTATCATATAAGTGAAATACACATGTTTTGTTGTAGTTCCTTGCAGCTTATCATTGATTGATAAGCCGTCATAGAGGGGCTGGAATATAGGAATATCCTCACACTTATAGGCCTATTAGTATGTAGTTATTACTACACAGTAACAGCGGAGTACAAAGTGCTTATCACTTAACAGCCATTAATGCAATGAAAATGTTGATCTTAATGAAAGCATTAACCACAAAAACAGAATGTTTTAATGTAATAGATAGTTATATACAATAAAAGACATGACTGATGGAACATATACATGTAGATTCGGAAATGAGAAATATCGTGACACAATCAGTCGTGGAGTTGCCTACGTGCCTGTTTCAAATAATGAGTCAGTCAACATGACACAGAATGGGAGAGAAGGTGCTCATTTTACGAAGAGGGAAATTCCAAAAGTTGTGGATGGTTCTTTGAACTTTGAACGGACACCGGAAAACAAACGAAATGGTCATTGGAAAAAAGTGTTGAAAGATTTCAGCGGCACAACAACTGTACATGGAGTCAGACAGATTGGGGAAAATACTCCGTTTTTTCTTAGAAGGTATGTTTTATGTATCATATATTTTGTTAAATAATTTAAATAAATAATCCATAAAATGATATGCTTTGATAATTAAACAATACAAATTACTTGGGTCAGTCAAAAGGTTCTGTTTAACTATTTCTAACTTTGTCATTTTGAGGTATTATTTACTGTTTTGAAGCATGACCACAATAAATATTGAAAACATTGATAACTCTTACGTGTGGTAAAAAGTCAAAGGAAATAAACAGTTTGGAAGGAATGTATATATTTATATACAGGCATTGACTTCAAAGTATTTTATCACTTATATACCTCTAAATTAATAACAGTACATTTGGAATTTGGTTTAGTTCGCGTTGAAAACGAATTTCCCAAACTTCATTTCTCCGACATATGGCTTGTTTATCTTCGCTGCATGGTCCAAGATTGCAAACATCTTTTGCATTCGTTAATCTCTTTCTGATCATTTGCACTGAGTATGGAGAACATCAAAAAGTCACCTGCTCTTGATCATGTTTATCCAACGGAAAGTGATGCTCAAATGTCACGAACATAAAGTTTCAGAAAAAAATACTCGATTGCCAAACAATTATTTCAGTTTTTAGGTTTTTGAATTTTATTCCAAGTAACATATTTGAAACCACGTCAGATTTCCCATATAGCTCATGTTTTAAAATCATGAGATTTAGTGATTTAGATGTAACTTGTTGAAAACAGGAAATAGCAGTTATTGAACACATTTTACATGATAACACTATCTAAACGATAATAATCCGAGGAACAGTGTATGCCTCAGTACATCGCTAAATAAGATAAAATTCAGAAGACTATGGTGGATTCAATCTTCAGAAAGTAAATAGGTCCTGACAGTGAAAAGAGATTTGAAACTGCTCTGCATTTATGTTAAGTTATGTAACAGGCACTGGAAGCCTGTAAAAACGAGTCAATTATATACTGCCGATCCATGATGTACTATTGTCGGCTTAGGAGAAAACAGTTTAAGAAATATGTACACTTGAGACAGACTTATCAATATATCTATACTAGAATGTATTTTTCTTGATTGATATGGCTTTGTAATTTCCTAGGGAATGCACCAAGGGTTTTTGTAATCCCTCAAATAAAAATCGATTTCAAAGGGGAAATCATCCAGGACCAGTTTCACACATGTTTTCCCGGGATAAAATTGCCTAAATAAAAAAGGGTTATAAACAATGATCGGAGCTTATTTACGGGGCTCTGTGGAGCTTCTGAATTGACTGAATTCCATACTGATCGGCTTGAGTCGGAACCTAGCTTACAGTACTTGCAGAGGAGCAGCTCATGGAGCTCAAATAGAGATCAATTTCAACTGGGTAATTATTCAAGACCAATTTTGCTTTCCCGAGATGAAATTGCCTAAATAAAAACGATTAATAAACAATTCCGGAACTGCGGATATAGTTTCGAACTATTAATGCATTATTTCGTTATATTAACTATACCAATTTGGGAATTGCAAGTATTCATAAATAATGATAAAATTCAACCAGTCTCATCCAAGTTGTTAAATTGAATCGTACATACAAGCAGCGTTATAGTATTTTTCTATTTTTCCAATTTTATACATAAACTGAGGACCCGCATTCAAAGTTTGCTAATTATAATGAATTATTCAAATACTTTTGTATAGCAATTTTTGTCCCCATGTAAATCTAAGTGGGTTTCTTTTTAGGGCAGTCGTTACTGAAGGGTAGATAATCTGCTCTTGAAATATTACATTTATTTATTTTATAATATTTACATATATGCCGATGTGATGAATAACTTACGTTAGTTGTATATGAAAATTATGAAATATATTATTACATTGTTATTTCAGAAGAAATCGTTTAAATCATTGACCAGCATTGTATCTTATTAATTGCTTTCAAAAAAGGTTATATTGTAAAGTCCAAATATACCTCAAAGAAACGCAAAATATTCTCCGTATAATTGGTAACACTAGCAGTGACATTGAGGACGTAAGCATTGAATTAAAATGTGTCTAAAGGTCAATAGATTTCAAAGAATCGTGTCAATGAATTACCGTGAAACACTATTCCCATGACATTCATCTTCTCAATAGTTAATCTTTTGGGATTATCCTTCGTACACAAGTCAGGCTTAAGTGAACAAAGTACATGTACAAAGTAGGCATATCTTTCTGGCCATCAATCAGATCACTGGGCTTGGGGACTTATATGTCTACGTTTGATTTAAACCAATATTAATTCTAGACGTGAAATTGCTTGTCTACAAGCCGATAAGAATTAATGTTTCCTGGTGTGATTTTTCAGCTTAGCATTGATCGATCCATCAATCATTTATATATGGTGTTGCCATTGTGAAATACACATTATCTAAAAAAAATAAATGTAATATGTAAAGGTCATTTGATGGAATCACAGAAGAAAGCAGACTCGAATCGAAACTCTTCAGTCTTGATAAGATAAAGCTCTAAATACGATTGCTCTGTCTCAACTGTTTTTTTAATAACAAACCTAATGTCATTCTAACCCTTCTTATTGTAAATAGGTCACATCCTGATAGGTATCAATTATTTTATAAGGACTGTCAAAATAGTAGACTTTTCAAACTGAGATATGCACATGTCCATTTTGTCTGGTGTTAGCAGACACTAAGAGTTCCGAGAAACTCGATTACTGCAAGAATAGATTTTAGAATTTCTGCTGTTACGTTCTTTTTGTTTATATAAGACCATTTGGAAACAACCTTTCAACAGATGGTCTTAATTGAAATGTGTTGTGATGATATGGACATATGAAGATAAAACAGAAGTGTATAAAATCAAGATGCTTTCAACAACATCATTAAATCAGGTTGGAATCTATTTTCAAGAGTGACGTAATATTGTGTTTTCAACATTACTATCAGTTCTTGAGATATTTGAATGAATACTGGTTTATTCGCTCTGTGATTAGATTATCAGACGGATTATTTTATTGGATACATGAATTCATGCTAAAAAAATCAATGTTGTGATGGTTGCAAGATTTACCAAGTAAACCCCAATATTCCATTTTTACTTGATACAACGAACTTTTTCACCTCTAAATAAATGCCCCCCCCCCTCCCCAATCAACAATTTCACCTAGGTGTCAATGTGGCTGCTGCTGAATTTTGATTTAAAAAGAATATAGGTGTTTTAGCCTCCAAAATCAATGAATATGCAATAGGTGCTGAGTATAAAGCTTAAACTGGACGGCAGACCAACCACGTGTTAGTGGAAATAATTCTCATCACTGTCACTTAATGCAAGAAATGATGCAAGGGTACAATTGAAGGGAGGGTTCAGTTCATAGGCAATGGTTTTCGCTGCATCGACATCTTGTCCAACATCATTGTATTTTATTTCCAGAGTGATTTGGCTCTGCTTGGTTGTGACTGGGTTTGCCTTGTTTACCCATCAACTGATTACGAGCTTCCTCTACTACTTTTCCTATCCGATGTCTGTCACGATGAAGATCAACTACAACACAACACTGACATTTCCCGCTGTCACTGTTTGCAACCAGAATGCGTTCAGGTAATCCAGAAATTTTACTAGGGGGTATTCCGGTGGGGGGCACTGGTCAAATCTGTGTACAGGGGTGTGCCGATGAGTTTCAAATTATCTACGCACTTCTAGGGATTTTTCTCTCAAAATGGACCCACATCTAGGGCTTTTATTTCAAAAATAGACCCACTTTAGGTAATTTTTAAAAAACAGGACCCAATTCCGGGGATTTTTTCACAAACAATACTCAGTTTTAGGATTTTCAAAAATTAGACCTAGTCCTTGGGATTTTGTCATCAACATGGGACCCATTTCTAGATTTTTTCTTCAAATGAGACCCACATCTAGGAATTTTTTGATGAAAAAGTGACCCACTTTTGCGGCACGTCCCCATCTAGCCAATATGGGGACTACCCACTCGGGGGTATGCCTTTCCATGTTCCCTGCAGTAAGTCGGTCGTTACATTGAATAGAGTTACCATTTATTTACGATTGATGTTTATCACACGATCATAACTCGATTACTGGTACTATATAAATCATGAAAGTACAAGTACACACAATGCTTGAGCTAGACCTACCTGTTCGACACCGAATTACACTCGGCAACCGCAGAGATTTACCGACATTTTAAAGGGGAGAATGGGAATAGTTAAATACAGAAAATGAAATCGATGTATTCTCATCCAATGGGGGAGCTAGGGTTGTCAAAGGTTTTAAGGGAAGTATATATCACTGGTAACTTAGTATGAGATGTATAATTAATTAGGCATCATATTGGCCACAATTCGAACGTTGAGAAAAAATCAAGAGCCACTTGACCCAGGCTGTTTTAAGAATTTAAGTCGATATACTTATACTATATTTATTTTCAAGGGCAACGATGATGGAAGAGCTTGGTTTGTACGAAAACCTTACTGAGTTGTACAGTGAACATGGGTCCGGTGAAGTTAGCCAATCGTTCAGAAATCTATCACTTCTCCATCTATTCAAGACGGGTGGTCATCAGTTAGAGGATATGGTATTGAGGTATGTGTATGAGCGGTTTAGTGTACTGAACTCGCTAAGCTTGGCGCTGTCCCTTAATAATGGTATTCACTATTGATGTATGTGTGTGAGCGGTCTAGTGCACTGAACTCGCTAAGCTTGGCGCTGTCCCGTAATCATGGTATTAACTATTGATGTATGTGTATGAGCGGTCTAGTGCACTGAACTCGCTAAGCTTGGCGCTGTCCCGTAATTATGGTATTAACTATTGATGTATGTGTGTGAGCGGTCTAGTGCACTGAATTCGCTAAGCTTGACGCTGTCCCTTAATAATGGTATTCACTATTGATGTATGTGTGTGAGCGGTCTAGTGCACTGAACTCGCTAAGCTTGGCGCTGTCCCGTAATCATGGTATTAACTCTTGATGTATGTGTGTGAACGGTCTAGTGCACTGAATTTCCTAAGCTTGGCGCTGTCCCGTAATCATGGTATTAACTATTGATGTATGTGTAGGAGCGGTCTAGTGCACTGAACACGTTACTTGGCTATGTCCCCGTATCTATGAAGTCTTCAGTTCGAGACGAGTGAGCTTCTTGCGTCTAATCATATATGTTAATGTGAACATCTGTAATATTATGTCAGTCAAACACCATCTGAGACGGAATGCTCTATATTGCATAAATTTTGATGTGAAGAGTATTGTTATCATTTTTTATTTATTCGTCAATGTGAATTGAAGTGATCACCCCTAACTGCCATAGAAAAGTAACTTGACAATAAGAGAAAAAATGCTACATTACAAACGGGTTGTCAACAATACATTGTATTCTTTTTAAAAAGAAATGATCATGGCTGATGTCCCTATATAGGTCGTATATATATTCCGGAAGAATAATGTAGTCGAATTAAATTCATTATCGTGAAATCAATTATGATATAACTATCCCTATAATAGCCCTGCTGTTAAGTAGTTGGAAATTGCTATTCAGACTTTACATGAATGATTAATGATTTGAAATATGATAGCAAATTAAAAGGATTTCTGAAACGCTGCTGAAATACCATTATTGTATCACGTTGCAACGGCAAAATGACATCACGGCCGTTAATTATCTCGAATTATAAAATATAGTCTATAAATATGAAAGTTTAAATATTAATCAGAAAAATGCAAAGAAAACCCAACCTTAAGTCAGGAAAACATAAAACAAATAACTTTGCATATACTTTGTTTGTTCATTCATAGATCGAAGGCAATAAATTGGAACTTCCAAATGGGCTCAGTGATCTCGCCCTGATTTATTTAGGAGATAGAATATCTAAATAAACGTATGTTCAGTTACCTCGGAAATAGTCTAATTTGAAATCGAAAATGACTTGTATGACCTGTAAAAGTAAATTCGCTGACTTCATTCGGAATTTATCCTCTTCATGTATTTCATGATATTGTATTTCAGTTGTCATTGGAGTGGCAGAGAATGCAGTCCTGATGAAATTACGACAACCTTCACGGATTACGGCACTTGCTATACATTCAACCATGGTAGAAACGGTAAACAATTTAAACGCTTGCAAAGTACCCAGGTTCTCATTGCAGTTTATCTGAACTCCATACTACCTATTTGTAATATCCAATAATATTCTTGGATGAAATGCCAACCAGCACTCATAATCTCCTCGTCCCTTTTGTCGATGGAGATGGATATAATTATCTGAAATATAATTTACCCATTGGATTCCATGCCATCTATTGACATTACTTATTAGTAGCATGGGTATAACCGTACAATGCATCATACTTTACAATTAACTACTACCCTTACATATTGCCGCGTCGTAGGCGTGGCGTGGTACAGTCCTTATGGTATGGTATGGTATGGTATGGTATGGTATTACATGGTATAGTATGGCATGGTATGGTATATGGTAAGGTATAGAATCGTATGGTATGGTATTGTGACGTTGGCATAACTGAAGACAAAGCATTGAATAATTGAGTTGATTAAAGTGATATCACAAACAAAATAAATGCAAATTCTTATGTTAAATGCAGCACATAAACATATGACTCAAAGAATAAAACACCGATAGTAGTTTTTCAAATAAAAGTGGTGATATTTTGCCATCCGTTAGTTTTGTATATATTTCATTTTACAGGTATTCCTACGCTTGAGTCAATTCAGACTGGTTCAGCGTATGGTCTCAAACTCCGACTTAATGTTGAACAATATGAATACATGAAAGGTCCGAACAGTGGCGCAGGTGTAAAGATTCTCATTCACGACCACAATGAAATCCCGTTAGTTGGAGATCTCGGACAGGCAATACCTCCTGGGATGCAGGCATTTGTAGGTGTTCGTATGCTACAGGTAAACACCAGCTTAAACGCTAAGTTTCAAGGCATATCAAACGAGCACTCCAAATAAGGTATTCATAGGGTTATAGCATCATGTATGTATATCCAAGTTATCATCATATCACCAAACTTGAACTGTTTTGATTCTGATTTTAGCTTCACAACCTCAAGGAACCACATGGGGAATGCGATGACTCTAAACGACTCAACCATTTTGATGACTATTCAATAGCTGCCTGCCATGTGGACAGCAAGGCTAGATATATAAGTCAACAATGTGGGTGCAGAGATCTATATGTACCCCAACACAAGACAAGTGAGTACAGGCATCATAAATGTACAGTATGCAACGCCCAAATCATATTTAGACATCGGGAAATGTACTCTTGGAAAACGATTTGATGTGTATATAAGAAAGCAAAAAATGGAAGATTTTATTTGTAGGAGAGTAAAATAATTAGAGGGAGGTATATATGAATAGATGTTTGCTTTGGACATAGCTGCTTAGTAAAAAATAGTTCAATCAGAGGTCCACTGAATGTGCATGCACAGTATAAATATGTTGTGACCGCGATATCTTCTAAACGTTTTTACATTTGACCACATAGTCAGTCTTGGCAGCAGAAAATTGTAGACTTTTGACAAAAACTAATTTTAATCAATTTATTTCTAGACCCAATGGAATTGTGTGACGTCTACTCTTATTTCAATTGTGTCATGACAAATAATGGTAAATAGTATATATCAATGTTATCATTTAAATATGAAATAATTTAAGAATATTAAAATATCAATAAATACATCCATTAAAAGTATGCAAATCAGTGACCTACACCTTGCGTTCTCATGCATAGTTTAGTGCTTACATTAATATAAAAAACGTTACTTTGAAATAATAAAATGCCTTAAACGTAATAATCTGATTTTCTAGACTTTCTATGCCTTTATAAACGTATCTATTACTTATTACATTATACACAAACATATCATGGCTGACTAGTATATATAAAAACATTCATTCTAAAATTTGTTCTATTCTAGTGAAAGTTGGTGAGCAGAAAGATGAAAGTGATTGCCCAATACCATGTAAACAGACGCAGTTCGATTCTGCCATAACTTATGCGGCAATATCAAACCACGACCTTGACAGCTATCTAAGTGCAAATCATACCAAAACTGCTTCGATAAAGAAACATTACTTAAATGCAAGGGAGACTCAGCAGAGAGTAAACCAAGATATCGTGAAAGATGACAAATTGCTGATTAAAAATTTTGACAAAGCCACAAATGAAATAAAAGAAGTATTGCACGGTGTTGTTAAACATGTCCATGGGTTATCCACAGAGTTGTCTGCCTCTCTCTCCGAACTATCCAGGCGGATCTGGTTTCATTATAATCGTGGCCTCACCAGGCTCCTTACCACGATGGACAGGGATTTCGTCAGAGCTTGGGAAGTATTGAACGAACGCTCTCTTTCACATATAACAACAGGATTTTACGCATTTATTGATTCATTTTCTGCCGCAGTTAGTCATTTGCTGGAGATTCCACTAAACAACACAAACTGCAGAGAGACTCTCCAAATGATCGTACAACGTGAGATATCTATAAAGCAAGTTCTAGCCAAAAGAGGTTATGATAATATGACAAAGATTCACAATGTCTTTGGAAACGCAGACCCTTGGTTTGTCTATGAAAATTCACCAGATCGGCGGTATGATAGGGAATATATATCGAAAGATATATTCAAACATTCTGAAGAGGGTGAACTCAACATCTACACAATACTCCGGACACAATTGGAAATTTATATGGATTGTCTGGATAACTTCACTGATATTCTGTCAACTGTGATGGAGACAAATGAAGCCAACTGGACCCACATACAGGAAACACATGAATTATTCGCCTCCGGGGCAAGGAGCATTAATTACAGACTATATATGTATGAGCAAGACACTGTACTAGTTACAAGTAAGGCACTGCAGAAAAACATGGACAACTTTAGTAGCTCAAACACAAGTCTGTTTAAGAAATTTGAGTCATTAAATCAACAGCTGGTAAGTTTGACCACATCTGCAATGACACTAAACACTTCAGCATTGTTAACTCTGCAGCACATCGCAATATTAGCTAACCAGTATACAGAACGAGGAATAAACAAAACACTTTTAGCCAAATCAGCTTTACAAGAGGAAGTATCGGCTGCAATGCAAGCAGTTCATTTATTCTTCTTAGATCTGAGATCACGTGAACGTATCATTAAAGACATATGGGTTCAATTAAAAGTAGACGTCATGAAAATATGGTCCAGTATGCTGTCAGAAAAAGCATTAGTTCAATTTTATCAAAAAATAAAAGATGATGTAAATATAGTGCGTCAAAATGGAAGTTTCTATGTGAAAGATGTGTTTCGAAAATTGCTTAAAATCCCCAAAAATGATACAGATAGAGCCAGCCTGATAGACAATAATTGGGACATATTCTTAAATGCTGATTTTGTAGACATTAACTTAAATGATAAGTTGACAGAGATTCAACTAAAATATAAAAGCATCATAGAAAGCTTTAATGTTGAAAGCGTCGCCGGGAATAAGGATAGTGCTCTAAGAGATGCATTCGACGATCTACTTGCATCTTTGAAAGATTATGAAAATAAAAATAGACTGGGAACTGCTTTTGTAAAGTAAGTGAGTTCACATATTTATGTTGCAATACCTTATACTGACGTTATTGTTAAAAATCAAATAATGAGTCAACAATTGAAAGCGTTGTTATTATCCTATATGTATGTCAACATAAGCAACGACAATCCATTTTTTTTAAAAAAAGCCTTGCGATCCAGAATGACCATATTTTCAAATCTGCCCGCTGCATTGCTATGTGAAATTCCTCGATCAGCGCTTTACATTTGATACCAGTATCGTTAAAATTCAAATCACTGAATTATTCTACTTAGAGATTCATTTTATAGAGAGAACTTTCTACAAATGGATGTCTTCATGAGGGAACTAAACTATGAACAGATAGAACAACAAAAGGCGTATGATCTTACAGCTCTTTGGAGTAAGTCCATATTAATATAGAGCATATCGTTATGTCATCAAACGGGCTATAATACAAATTTATTTGCGTCAAATATTGATAACAGGGGGAGGCCAAAACAAAATATAATATGTTTTTAAATGTTTTGATGTTACTTTCCAGGTGACATTGGAGGATCTCTTGGTCTGTTTGTTGGTGCTAGTGTTCTCACCATTTTTGAACTACTGGACGTTGTGATACATAACTTGCTAAGAGTACACTGCACTGGAAGATGAATCGAACGGGGCCTCGTCTCGAGGTTATGACGTCACATGTCATCACGAAATAGTGCAAGTTGTTTTGCTACGGCAGCTAGTATAGGAGAAACATCCAATTAGATACTATTAAATTGAAGTGAGCAATATAAAAAAAGGATTAACAATAATATCATGATACAAATTGCCATGCTCAAAATATTGAAGCTATCTGCAGTATGAGAAATAGAAAAAACGATTCCTTTGGTCGAAAATGTGTCAAAGCTTGAACTATGGTATGCAAAGAACTTTTCCGATGAATAAAATAAAATATGTTATATTTTTCTTTCGCTGCAATTTTACTGCGAGGCTTTAGGCATTTTGATTGATATTATTTACGTTCGGAAATATAGTTTTACATCAAAATGCATTAACACAAAATTGGAGACACATTGTGCTTCTATTTTAGCAGCATGGGACCCCCCCCCCCTTCCATGGTTGGACCCAAACATTTAGTAGGGCCTCACGTAGTGTGCATTTTAGGCATAACTTGGCCTTTTGGGGCCTTATCTTTTAATTGATTATAAAATCATCAAAAATGGTCCTTAAAATTGAAAAAAATTGGGCCCACTTTTAGGTTTTAGGAGGTCAACACAAAAGTATTTTACACACAAGCGCGGAAATATTTTCTGACTTGAAATGCTCCCCCCCCCCCTTGTAAGCTTCTGGATCCGCTAGTGAATGTAACTTTTCAAGAGATGATGAAAGATAAAACTAAATTTCATATCGCCAAGTTCTTTTATATGACAGTTGGTATATAGAAGACCTGTTATGTTTAGACAGCCCTAACTACTTTTGTCAGTGGGATTTACCCTGTCAAGTTAGAGTTGAAAAACACAAATGAATCAAACATGAGTCTGCCTTATTTTAACATGTTTAACCTTCTGATTGACATGATTGATTAAGACTAGTATGATAGTGTTGGTTAGATGATGCAATAGTATACAAATAGTGACTGCCATTGAGGGCAATAGTGTAAATTATTTCCTCGAGGGAATATCCTCTACAATGTACTATTCCCGAAGCCGCAGGCTGAGGGAATAGTACATTGTAGAGGATATTCCCAAGGGGAAATCATTTACACTATTGCTCGAAATTAGGCAGTCACTATTTGTTTTATTATATACCCTATACTGACTCTTGTCCCGTTTCCTCTGCGAAGGCCAAAAAGGTTTAGAAAGCCCCCTCCCCGGGTCCATTGTTAGCATTATAAGCTGTGACGTCATCAGATGCTCAACAGAAATTTTTGCCTCTGAGACTCTCACTTGACAAATTCAATCGCGTTTAACACGCGGAATAGATTATCATAACACTTGAAATTACACAGACGTATTGAGCTTAGGGAACTTTATACACGTTGCTTATATTGTATCGTTAACGCACGTCTGTCATGGTGAATGGAGTTGATTTGTGTTTGTGCTCATCCTCCATTTTTCTGTTTTTCGTCTGCGCAGTGATGATGCGCAGACGTTTCCAAGGGTAATAGAACTTGTAATTGTGACGTCAGCGGGCAATAGTTCAAATGTATATTCCCGCTGACGTCACATTTTAGGGAATGTAACTTTCCGAGGGAAATAGTAAATCTATTTCGGAACACGTGACTAGGTATTGACCAATCAGGATTAGTGTTACATACTGTATAAGTGGTATTTAATCCGAGTGGTTAATTTTCCGAATGGTCAAATTTCATCATTTTCCTAATTTTAATTTTCCTAAGAAACGTTCCATTGGATAACATTATAAAGACAATATTTCCGACATTTAATTTTCCGAACCTGGCAAAAATTAGGAAATAGGCAAATTAAATGATTAGGCAAAATTACCACTTATACAGTATTGGGTATATAATAAATGACTTTATAACATACCTATGATGATGTATAGTGCAAAGTGTACACAAGACAGCGGGCCAATATAAGTTTTGAAAAGCCCTCGCCCGCTAACTTTCTGATTGGTCAAGGCGCTGACGTCATAACCAATCAATCGAAGATAAAACTGCGCGAGCAATTTTTCTAAACTCATTTCAATCATTTTCAAACCATTTGTTTGTCAATTCTTTAAGAAAACGGTACTCGCTGACCAGTCTACATCATCATAGGTATGTTATAAATCGTTTATGTCACTATCGTGGCACATATGCCCTCGGTTCTCAGAGATCAATGTCCCTCCCAAGGTCGGGCCATATATCACTGAGACCTCGGGCATATATGCCACGATAGTGACATAACCTCTAATTAATGTTGATATTGTGAATTTTCCACATTTGGATAGCAATATTACATTGAACCCAGTGCATGGGGTATATATATATATATATACTACTCCAGCTCATTAGACTTAGCAGGCCATGCACTCATTGGCCTAGGTGTCACTACTTGCCGGTCTTTCCTTTTTCTGACATTGTTACTCCAAAAAACTGCTCCTATTGATAGGGGTCGCTTGAGATACAACACAAACAAACTCAACCAAAGTAAAGCCTGGATGATAATTTTACCTTTGATGAAAACATCCGTGACTTACAAGATTCCAAATATATTTCACATGTTTTGAATAATAATATTTCTTTTGTGATCATTTGCAGTTAAAATTTGACTTTATGGTTAATAATAGATGGGGTTCTTACCCTTGAGTAAAATCTGACATCCCGCCCCATTTTTGAATGAGCATAGCACAATATTTCAAGAATTAATAAACTTGTGTTTGTCAACTGGTATGATTAATAAATAAATGTAACTCCAAATGGCTGGAACCTAAAATGGTAATGAAACAAGTTGATCTCGGTCTTGAGTTTTGAGTTTTAATCCATGAGTGAAATCAGATAAACTAAATAATGCAAACTGAGCTTGAATCCCGGGCTTGAATTAACCCTAAATATTTTATATATACGTGTATGAGCAACAGCATATAGAATGAGCGTCTAAAGGGGAGGGATGTGTTAGGAGCGACCGCATCTCTCCCCTTTTGAGCAATTTTCAGGGGGTTTGTTCATTGCGCTGATGTGAACACTCGGAGGAAAGAACTATGCGCTGTGGCGAAAATGATGCTGTTTTAGATGTAGACGCACCCACCTTAAAAACAACCTTGGAAAACCCCTGTAAAGGAGTAGCTTTGGGTTCGGGTTTTCACAAATGACTTTACAATATTTAGGGGGTCATTCAAAAATCTAATTTTGTATATTTATATATAAATCAAATAATTAATTTAGTATTATTACACGCATACATGATTGCAATTATAAAATATTATTGTTTCGATACAATTTATTTTGTATGCTGGCTGTTTGAAATCAACTGAGGGTACATGTAGTAACACAGAATGCAAAACATCATGAGTAATAAATTTGGTTAAATACTATTTAAACCTAAACATCAAATCGCCTGCCAACGTGCATTCTAATTTGTCATTTTATTTTATCTTAATAATTTCAAACTTATTCAATGTATTAAGCACATTCTAGTTTTATTTATGATCTAGATAGCTCTATTAAATACTAGTAATACACTTATTTTGACCAGTATTCGTGGACCATCTTTTCAAATAAGAGAAACGTGGCACACCTCACTTTGAGGTTTGCCTTTTTCAAAGACTCCAACAGCCAGGAAACGCGATTTTGGCAAATACAACCATTAAACGACGCCATACCTTTGGGCGAGGATTACTCATTCTTAGCTCTGAATCACATGGCAAGGATCACATGTATAACTTAGACGACCAATCAGAGAATCGTAAATATTTTATGATGGCAGTGCAGAGTGATCATATAATCTCATCCGGACCAGCTGAATGAAAGAACGAGCTGAACATTGCAAATATTATCAAATCGTGCAACATGATGGTGAAATAATCGACATAGATCAAACCAAAGGAGACATGGCTGGATTTGCTAATAGAGACGTTACGGGAGTCGTGGAGAGTGCGCACAAAGACTTTCAATCAGGACAACGGTTTGATTTTGAACCATCAAAGAAAGTTAAGAATGGTCATTGGAGAAGGCTTTTGAAGGATTTCAGCTCCACGACAACCGTGCATGGTGTTCGACAAATAGGGGAAAATACTCCGTTTTTTATTAGAAGGTAAAGTTCGTAAAACACGTGTTGCATCATATATTTTACCTATTCAAATATACCAGTTTTTCAAATACGGTAAGAGTTTGGCTCGAGCTTCTTTTTTGCTGTATCTAAAATTTTACTGATTCAAATATTAGACTAGAGTTTAGAGTTAGAGTTTGGCTAGGGTTTCTAAAGGTTTGTTGCATCTTTACCCATTCAAATATTAAATACATATCGTCGCATGAGAATAACTTTGTACTATCTCACATTTTTACGGAACTGAGAAATCAAGGTTTGAAAGTTTAGAGGTCTGTATCTTACTTAGTATTGCTATGTGAAACTTGATTTTTTGTATGTCACCTGGTCTCACCCTAGAGATATCTTATATGAAATATCATACCTTGAAACAATTTACAAGATCCTTTTTTAAAACTATGGAAATGGAGTTGATACAATTTCCCACTGGAATAACAGCTTATTTCTAATTTCAAATTGTCATATCTGATATCAACTGTTTCAACCAATCAGCTCTCTAAGAATTGGTCATGTGACTTGCAAAACTTGGAGTTATAACAATCTTATATTAAAACAAAGTATGCCAATATGCATGTTATTGTATCTAGAATGAAAAATAATGTTTTGCTTTGTAAAAAAATCTTCAAAAAACAAAGAATATTATTTAATAAAATAAAGAAAATTCAATTTATAAAACTTTAAAATCAATTTATCAAATAAGTACAATTATTTCTTAATTTTGGAATCTCAGGACACCCTTCAAAAAGAATTTGTTGCATTTGAAACTAAGGCAGAAGTACAATGCCTTGAAACCAATGATGCCAATACGGTCCCCCACATATTTCCCTCGGTATAAACCCTGTAGCCTAAACCTCCCAGCACATTACAATGTAGGCCCTAAGGGCCGGTCCGCTGGTCATTATCAGGTTATTTTTGATACAGACCAGTTGATTTTTTCACTGGGTATAGGAGAATAACATTGCAACTGGTCCGTAATTCCATTTTGACCAGCAGGTTCCAGATCCTTAGGGCCTAAGACATAACCAATTTTTATTACATGCACATGGAAGAAATTTGAAAATAGAAAAATAATTTCTAATTAATTTTAGATTAATGAAAGTGATGAAACCTCGATTTAGGTAATCACATTTTGTTCATTGGGATGCAGCTATCATTATTTTCTGTTGTTTGCTACTCTGTGGAGTACAATTGGGAATTGAAGCAATTGTAGAAGTGGAGACTAAGAGTGGCTCTTTGTAAAGAAATTGAACCAATTTGTTACTTTTCCAAAATAAAATGTAGATGATCTAAAAACAATGATCCCAAAAAATGCAAAAGAAAGGACAAATCTGAAAAACATACTAGTAAATAACTAAAAAGATCCCAGATGTTCCGTGAAAATTTAAAAGTAAAAGTAAATCATAGATGAAGAGAAAATAAAATAAGTGTTTTAAGGGACTATACTAACATAAAGATAACTCCTTATTGATATAGTGTATGGTCAGTAAAAGTTAAAGCTAGTTTAAATAGATTTAGCTTTTTTTCCACAAACTATAAAACATCATTTTGAAAGAGATTTCAATAGTATACAGACAGTGATTGCCTTTGAGCGATGTAGTGCAAAATATGACAGTTACTATTTGTTTTGATTACTATATCTAGTATATAACCTATTATTATGTACTCTATTTGAAGAAACAAATAAGTAGTCTTTCATTTTCAACATTTAATGATGACAGCTTTGTATAGGCATTTTTATTGCATTTGGCCATTCAAACCCCTATAAGACCTGGTAGCAGGGAAGATAAAGGGTACTTTTGACTGCTCACATGATCTAATTAACTGGTCATTTGTACTTTTCATCTTCCCTGGTAGCAAGGATTTAGGTTTTCGAGGAAATTAGTAATTCTATTTCATATCATGTGGCCATGAATATCAATAATCCAATGAGCATCCATAATACAAAGAGTAATTGAGGGCATATAATTTGAATATGCATGGGATTACACATACTGTATCATTTCATTTTTTTGATCTACTTGTAATAGTTCTAAAACTAAAACATGAAAGGCCAGGCATGCAAACTGGCATGGTATTGTGTTACAAAACATTATTTCATTCTAGATACAATAACATGCATATTGGCATACTTCGTTTTAATATAAGATTGTTATAACTCCAAGTTTTGCAAGTCACATGACCAATTCTTAGAGAGTTGATTGGTTGAAACAGTTGATATCAGATATGACAATTTGAAATTAGAAATAAGCTGTTTGTCTGGAGATGGTACAATTTCACACTGAATTCTAGCTTAATGAGAGGGAATTGAGATGGGGCATGTATCTGAGATGAAAGCCTGTGTTTCAAATAGTAAAATTCCATGTCTATCTCAATTTTTTTGAAAATGGCAGTTAGTACAAAGTTATTCTCACGCGACGATATTACAGTTTTGTTGTATCTGAAATTTTACCTATTCAAATATGGTATATACGAAGAGTAACTGATCGTTCCTAAAAATTTTATCGGTATACATATTTTACTTATTTAAATATCCTTAGCATTTCTTAAATCTTTATTGTTTCTTATATTTTAAATTATTGTTAAAAGGGAAAGGCAATGAAATCAGATCGACTTGGAAATGTATTTTATTGCAAAACACGATGTTTTCAAAATGTTAACAAATCTTGATAATGACATATTTCTATACTATTGTTTAGTTAATGCTTGAAGCAGAAAGTAAGTAGTTTTTTAAATATATGTTGCATTCAATATTATCAAGAAAAAATAGATTTATAACTAAATAAAACTTTTTCACAACTTTTCTGACTATTAAACATCAATATGTTCCGCTGAAATAGTTGTGAAATATTATGGTCATGGCATGATTTATTTTTATACAGGGTGGACCAAAAATCCAATACCCAACTTTAAATCAGGATAAAAATAGTTATGTTCAATATAGTACATTGACTTATATATCATTTTAAAGGTAATTCATTTTCAAACAGCCGGGTTGCTATTTAGGGTCTCTAGGTTTTAGAGAGAAAGTAAATCTGTGGAATTATGTTAAATTTTTATTTATAGAATATCATTTTGTTTGGTGAATAAATGCTTGCATACTTGCATAATTGTGTGACTAAACTTATTGTTTATACATTTTGTGCCCACCCTGTATATTAATGAACTTATTCAATTATATGTTTCAGATAGATAGCGAATTTTCATTCATCTAGCACCTTTAGCTAATAATGAATTAGAAAAGAACGACGATATTTAGGCTTCCAATACGGCATAAATAATTCCAAAGTCGTACCAATTACTATAATTGCACAGCACTTAATTTAATCGAATCGTAATATTGTCAAGAGACGTTGTATCAATATTTAAGGGTATTGACATTTCTGCTTGATGTAATACTTAGAAAACAGTAAAATCTGCATCTAATTTGCTTTGACTTGTTTACCAATCGGCAAGTCACGAGATTTTCTCCTGGTACACCGTCCTGTCATGAATTGCCCCAATGTACATTTTACTAGATGTTCTAGGATAGTTGTGCTTGGTTGTGTAAAACTTCGCCTTGTTTACCCATCATTAAGCCATGAGTTTTTTCACAGCTACGTCGTCTGTCTAGTGTAACCCTAAGGCCCTAATGTATATTTTACTTCTAGGGTAGTTTGGCTCTGCTTGGTCGTAACAGGTTTTGCCTTGTTCACAAATCAATTGATTACGAGCTTTCTCTACTACTTTTCTTACCCGATGTCTGTAACAGTAAAGATAAACTACAACACAACAGTGACGTTTCCAGCAGTAACCATTTGCAACCAAAATGCATTCAGGTAATCCACATGTACATAAGGTTACAACTTAAGTTATACTTATTTGTGCCTTTAGACAGTAATAAATAATTGTAATATTAGAAACAAATTTTAAAGAAACCTTTTAATCTTTGAAACCACGATATTGTTAATATGGACAGGGGCCATATGAACTTTTGTTTGTTTTAAACGTAGTTCGTGTATTTTTCTAAGGGCAACTGTCATAGAAAAGCTCGGCCTATATACAGCACTTACAGAATTATACACTGAAAATTCGTCGAGGACAGTCGAACCATCATTTAGAAATCTTTCCCTGCGTCATCTATTTAAAAATGGTGGCCATCAACGAGATGATATCATACTGAGGTATTATGTGTATACTGCATAATCTTGTAATGACCTCTGTGATAATACTTATGTCTGCTTAACTACTTCAATTGCCTGATAGATTATATCTAATGTAACACTGATTACATGTAATTTATTTCAAAATAATAGCAATCCATTACCATACAATCGTTGAAACATATTACACCATATATATACAAGAAAAGGTATCTGCCAATTAGCCCTGTAATTGCATTGATAATTAAGATGGGTATTTCAGTATGAATAATTTAAAGTATAATACGAAATTAAAAGGATCATTGAAACGTTATGGATTCTCGCCATTGTTGCGTCCTGTGCCTGACAGAAAGGTGTCGTAACATAAAACTGGTTACAGAGAATAGCTTGGCAGTCATAGGTCAACAAATCGAGTCGAGTTCACTAAGTACTGAACTCGACTCAGTCTCTTCAAACAGAAGTCGACTCAGTTTTTTGAACAAGGGAACTCGACTTGAATGTTAGGTTACCACCAAAAAGTAGTGACATATTGGTATGGTCTCCGTTTTTTGTGACGTCGGCTGGCGTCTGGTGGTCGGCGTCTGTAACAAATTCTTACAACTTCAAATGATTTGACAAATATCGTTAAGACTGACTTTAATTTTTTCGAAATCATGTACAAGTTCTTAGAAGTTTAAATCTGACTTGAGATTTGACCTTCAATGACCTTTTCAAGGTCAAAAGGTCAGAAAGGTATTTTTCAACTTGCTTCAAATTGACTATTTTTCAAAATTATCTACAAGTTCTCAGAAGTTCAAATCTGACATTTGATTTTAGATCTTCCCATCAATGACCTCCTCAATATCAAAAAGGTCAAAATGTCTTTTTCAACTTGTTTCAAATTGACTAATCTTATTTTCAATATCAACTTCAAGCTCTCAGAAGTTTAAATCTGACTAAGATTGAACTCATAATATTGTGAGCAACTAGATGGTGACATTTTGTCATGTTAATGCCTTGTTCCCAGGGCCTATGTTGGCAGTATCAAATATTTCTAAATTAAATGCAAGAAAATAATTGTGTGAATCTAATTTAAATTCTACAATTTTACACAGAATCCAAATATGTCACCACACACAGAAGTAAATGTAAGTCTCATGGTCATTCATACATATACTTCCTAAAATGTCATTAAGAGCGAAACCTCAACGAGATTCCAATGTCATATAGCAAGGTCACTCTTAAATACTGATACTTCTGTTTCAGTTGTCATTGGAGTGGCAGAGAATGTAATCCCGAAGACATTACGACAACCTTCACGGATTACGGCACCTGCTATACATTCAATCATGGTAGAAACGGTAACGATGGTCGCCATTTGGTTGAAACAAAGTTTGTTCGCCCCCTTTGATTAAATCAGTCTGAAAATTAGGCGTTTTCGTTTTCTCGAGATAAGAAAGTAGTATGATGTTAGGCATCTATTCAATTTTTGAAATAAAAACAAATTGTGGTTGAATGCCCTCATATCTTGGAAGAGGAATGAAACCCCAGAGCTTAGAGATGACAGACATAATTGCGTCTCTTGCGAGTTTTCACCGTCTAGTTTCCGAATACCACACGCTATTTTGATGTTTTTAATCGATGTTAGAATATTCCTAACATATCATTGATGTGAAATAACAAGCTATAATATCGGTTAACACGCCAAGACATAATATCATTCGAAGCGTTCTTAGAAGAATTTTGAAACCGCCAATAAGTGTAATTTGTATGTCGATTTATTACGTGCTCATCTCTCCTACCCATTTTTCAACTAGTAGTGCTTTTAAGACAAAGAATGTTATCCAAGCAAAAATACATACCATAAGATAAAGATGTCAAAAATGCTTTAAACAGCTAGGGTCTTATGATGTTAATGTGTATACCAATAACGTTAACGCATTCCTGATGAAACGCATTTTAACGAGTGCAAAATATTTGACGTGTTTATTTTTCCAATAGGAATTCCTATTCTGGAATCAATTCAGACTGGTTCAGCGTATGGTCTCACACTTCGGCTTAATGTTGAACAATACGAATACATGAAAGGTCCGAACAGTGGAGCGGGTGTAAAGATACTCATTCATGACCACAATGAAATCCCCTTAGTTGGAGATCTCGGACAGGCGATACCTCCTGGAATGCAGGCATTTGTAGGTGTCCGTATGCTACAGGTAAACTCATTGGTGATCTTGAGATTCACATCATTATTTAGATGTATTAACATTGCATAGGGTTGTTGCTGCATCAATCGAGAACAAATCAAAAATAAAACACTAAATCTTATCTTCTTGTGAACATTAAACAAATAATATACACCTTTATGACTTTGTTACTCATGGGCTTTCTTTTTATTTTTGTAATATCAATGACTATTTACTTTTGTGTACATTCAAGACAAATTTCAAGTTAAATTGCAGCTTCGAAATCTTGAAAGACCACATGGGGAATGTGACGACTCTAAGCGACTTGAACACTTCGATAACTACTCCATAGCCGCCTGCCACGTTGACACTAAGGCTAAATACATCAGTGAAAAGTGTGGGTGTAGAGATCTTTATGTACCACAACATAAGACTCGTAAGCTATAACAAAAATCAAATAATATATCGTACAAGAAGACCAAAATAATTTGAATACTCATGAATGAATTTATGCAATGTCATCAAAGATTGTTAGTTATCATCTATGATTGTCTAATTACAACAGTTTATTGGATCATGTGATATTATTTTTATTTCTAGGTCCATTGGGGTTGTGTGACCTCTACTCTTATTTCAACTGCATCATGACGTCTAATGGTAACACTTCCTTTGTGATACGTTTTTGGTTAGATTAGAATAGAATAGAATATGTTCGATTGTGATTTGATAAATTAGTCACTTCATAATATCAAAGCTTGCAGGAAAAAAACTCAGAATGTCATCGCTCCACAAAATATAATAGTTAGTCTATATACTGTATCTTAATTTCATTACAGCGGATGTTAATGCTATGAAAGGCGAAAATGATTGCCCTTTACCGTGCAAACAGACACAGTTCGACCCTACGATAACATATGCTGCAATATCAAACCACGATCTTGAAAGCTATCTGAGCGGAAGTCATTCCAAAACTGAATTGTTGAAGGAAAAATTCTTAAATGCAAGGGAAACTCAGCAGAGAGTACATCATGATATTGTGAAGCATGATACAATGCTGATTGAGAATTTTGACAATGCCACGGATGTCATAAAGGAAGTCCTACATGATGTTGTAAAGCATATTCATGTGTTTTCTACAGAGTGGGGCGAATCTATGTCTGAAATGTCCAAACGAATCTGGTTTCATTATAACCGTGGCCTTGTACCGTTACTCTCGACGGTAGACAGAAACTTTGTGAGGGCTTGGGATGTATTGAAAGAAAGAACTATTTCCCATATGACAACCGGATTTTATGCATTTATCGATTCATTTTCTGATGTCTTGAGACAATTGATGGAGATTCCATTAAACAACACAAACTCGAGAGAAAATCTAAAGATGATCGTTCAACGAGAGATAAATATAAGAAAACTATTAGCTAGAAGAGGCTATGATAATATGACAAGGATTCACAATGTGTTTGGGCACGCAGACCCTTGGTTTGTTTTTGAGAATTCGCCAGATCGGCGGTATGATAGGGAGTACATATCAAAAGATATATTCAAACACTCTGAACGGGATGAACTGGACTGCTACACAAGCCTTCGAACACATTTAGAAATTTACATGGATTGTCTGGATAACTTCACTGATATTTTGTCATCTGTGTTTGCGACAAATGAAGCCAATTGGACCCACATACAAAAAACACAAGATGCGTTTGCCTCAAAGGCAAGGAGCATTAATTACAGACTATATATGTATGAGCAAGACACTGTACTTGTTACAAGTAAGGTACTGCAGAAAAACATGGATAACTTCAGTAATACAAATATGAGTTTCTTTCAAAAGGTTGAGTCATTAAATCAACAGCTGGTAAGTTTGACCACATCTGCAGTGACACTAAACACTTCAGCATTGCTAACTCTGCAGCACATCGCTATATTGGCTAACCAATATACAGAACGAGGAATAAACAAAACTCTTTTAGCCAAGACAGTTTTACAAGAGGAAGTATCTGATGCGTGGCGGAAAGTGAACTTATTCTTCTCAGATCTTAGATCACGTGAACGTAATATAAACGACATATGGATTCAATTAAAAAAGGACGCATTGACAGTATGGTCCAGTATGCTCTCTGAAAGAGCACTGCGTCCGTTTTATCAAAAGATAAGAGAAGATGTAAATATAGTACGTTACAACGAAAGTATGTATCTGAAAGACGTGTTCAGACAAATGTTAAACATCCCAGCAGACGATACGAATACAATGACTTTTGTCGAAAATAACTTGGATATATTTTTGAATGCTGATTTCCCAGTAATAAACTTGAATGATAAGTTGAAAGAGGTCGAAAGCCAGTACCTTAACATCATTGATCTCTTCAATGCAGGGAAAATCGTTGGAAATGCGGATGGAGTTTTTATGAAAGCTTTTGATGATCTACTTACATCGTTGAAAAGATATGAACATGATAATGAAATGGGAACAGACTTTGTAAAGTAAGAAACTACTGTTAACATCTTTTTTGTCAAAAGTAAAAGACTCACGACTGTAATGAAAATCCTAAAATTATGTGAAGTGTAAGGTATTATCATTGGAGAGGTTAAGCAAATACGGTTTTTCAAAACATATATACGTAAACGCAAAGTACATTGAATCAACATAGGATTGTATCGCTTTAGTCTACTTCAGATACCCGTTCAACTTCAAAGTTGCGTGTTTAGAACGGGAGATTTTAAATTTCACGTTGCTATCAACGGGAATCATTATACTCATGTCTGTTGAATACTATCCTTGCAATTTTGATTTCGATGCAGAGTATAATTCTTTCTGAAGAAGATGATGTATGTTACGCATGATTTAATTCCAATAATCTTACGATACGAGCTCGTTTAAAATATGTATTAGAAAACCAGCTATTGAACTTCATCAATGGGATACTATGTAATCATTACAAGCTATGGTGTAGTCTAAACAAACACTAGAGCTGAACGGCTATTTATGTGTGAACTCTACATGTATTTGTATAGGGCCGATTGATACGTTTAAGTTGCGTTTTGGATTTTATACGGTAGCTTAACCTCTCCATTAAATACTATAGTCCAGAAGAAGGTTTTCAAGGGAGGTTAAAAAGATTTTCTTGTGATACATACGTTAGCAGACGCGACGCCCACATTGAGATAACATCTGATAAGCTCAATGACCCCTGTTACACAGGCCAGTTGAAATGCTTCGTTACGAAGCAATTTGACAAAAAGCTTCGTAACGAAGCAATTTTGGGCCAGTGTAACACCTCCGCCTTCGTTAGAAAAGCTTAGTTGATAACGAAGCAATTGAGTAGAAAATTCAACGAAGGTTAGGTCCCAACGAAGCTTTTTTGGCCTGTGTAACAGGTAGCTTCGTTAGAAAATGCTTAGTTGGCGGTTTGCGCATGCGCGTAATAAAGAGCACATTTATCATTTTGTATTAAATGAGAGGAATCGCGAGGAAAGAATATGTTTTTAAGTACGTATTATTATAATGCTACGTTTTGATTAAAATAATTACCTATTTGCGTCACTGATTGACGCTAACTCAAGCCCTAAACGCCACGTAGAACTGTGATTTACCGTCTTTCGTAGCATTTCATTCGATTCTCTGCCTTTCCTCGCATTGATTTGACAAAAAGTATTAAATCTAAAAAACGCAGGTTTTACCGTATATGTATACGGTAGTTTTGAAAGTTTATCTGATCTATTAGAGAATAAACCTAGAATATTTAAATGTCCCTCTTTCGGAAAACTCCGTCTCAAGTGTGGAAGGGTAAACTTTTGAAATTACATAAGATATGCTTACTAAATAGAAAGTTGTGGCATACATGTTTAACATTAATTTTTTCTTGCGCCTCGAATAATTAGACCTTGAATGTAATTCTAAAGGTGTTAATACCATGAATCCCGGTGAATCACATCAGGGAATATAGCCGATTTGATTGATTCGAAAATGTCTCTCTTCAGAAATCGTATCCAACTGGCTATCGCCCCATTGCAATACTTGTACTAGTCGTTCCATTATTTTATTCTTCGACGATTTTAAATTGTAATTGAATTTAAACTTCATGTTTAAATATATTGAATTAATTACGTTTCAAAACTTCCGTATACAAATACGGTAAAACCTGCGGACAAGGAACGGTGGCCAAAATTGTTTCTTGTCGACAGATATTTGCCACAGAGAGGCTGCATGTTTTAGGCCAGCCCCAAACACTATTGATGTGTCGTAAGACGATGCTTACAACCGATATCCAAGTTTCTTTCTATTTGCGCCATTTTCGAATTCAACGGACGGCTGATGGATTAACATACTAATTTATGTCAAACTCACTAAAATATGCATGGAATATTTGCGAGACGGGTAATATTCATATAAAAATGAATTGGTCATGAAATAGTAGTTAAACCATCAGCCGAACACCGAGATATTTTAGTAATGGCTACACTATTTGAAATATAACTAAGAAGTCCATTTGGAAATTGAACGTTTTTATACGATATTACATAACTAGTCCTCTGTATAAACCCAAAATCCAATTCCTCCTAGTAATTAACATAGGCCTATTTTCATTCCATATGTTTTCCAAAGGAAATGATAGAAAATGAAAACAATACTTGTAATCGTATTGACAGCTGAAATAAATGAATTTGGAAATGATAGGAAAAATGTATGGACATGTGGACATTCATCTGGTTTTATTTTCCCGAGAATTTTGAACTAGTCTTTTTCTGTGCTGAATTGTTAAAATAAAGATTAAAAATTAGATTTTTGAGTTTGATCGATGGTTTATATCAAAAGAATAAAAATATTAATCATAATAAGTGGGTGGGGCAGATGAGTAATGCGCACGCGCAACGAAGCATTTTAAGTGCAGTGTAACACCAAATAATTGCTTCGTTAGGGTTGGATAAAGCCAGTGTGGACACAATTTTTTCGCTAACCTTCGTTACAAAAATGCTTCGTTAGACTCAACCCAGCAGTGTAACAGGTACCATTGTCTCTTTAAAAAAATCTATTCTAGTTTATATGTTTATATTTTGCTATGCTTGATTTGCTTACAATGACTTATCCATTGCATGTAGTTTTCCCACATACACAATCGTAGTTTATGTTTAATATATGATTTCCATTTTATAACCCCCACCAACTTTTATATTTTAGAGAGAACTTTCTGCAGATGAATATCTTCATGAGGGAACTAAATTACGAACAGGTAGAACAACAAAAGGCATATGATCTAACAGCGCTTTGGAGTAAGTCAATGTTGAATCCGTAACAGTTCTTTGTTTAAGTGGTGAAACTATGGAATTGAGCATTTCTTTAAACTGGAATTTACTTTGATCGTTAATATACTCACACACACCATGACCTTCTTGGACTGGTCTTGGACGTTACGACGGACGAACCCACCTAACAGCTAAAATCAAGCATTAAACATACAATGTACAAGTTGAACTTAACTCAGCTGACTCATACACAAACATTTTCTTTCAAATCAACCTCAAGCAAACCTCTTATATATAGGCACATGTAAGACTCTACTATGTGAAAGCGTGGTTCTGTTATTGGAACTTTTTTTCTGACCGTTTGAGGGTACGGCTTGCTGCTTTGATTTTCTATGTTTTAACTATTCCAGGTGATATCGGGGGATCACTGGGTCTATTTGTCGGAGCTAGTGTTATCACTATCTTTGAACTGTTAGACGTTGTGATACATAACTTGTTCAAAATACACTGCACTGGAAGATGAATCTAATGGGGCCTCGTTTCGAGGGTCGAGTTATGACGTCACATCCTTTCACGTTATAGAGTAGCCTACGAAGATTGAACCTTTGCTGGCAGGGCTGGTCTTGAACTGTTAGACATGCCTTGCTTAGAATACACTGCACTGTGAAAGATGAATCCAAATGGGAAATCAATGCAAATACATGACGATGACGTATTGTATCGACTATGCAAATGTGTAGATGCATGGACGTGGATCAAAATTAACTAATATAGGTCACCCTACTCACCCTTCGGAACACACCTTGAACTATAAGGTTTTCATGAGCAACCTGCCTGATTTAAAACTTATGATTAAGTTGATAGGTATTCCACATGTGTTTTATTATTGGTTTACTAAATGATTGAATTGTTGGAATCTTATAAGATAATTTTCAAAAAATGCAAAACAAGCAAATCAGATAAGAAATACGTCAAAATACTAGGACGTGTTCATAATTATTAGCAAGATTAAGCCGCAGTACTGAAATGAAATCAAAATGCGTTGACATTTAAATAAAATGTACGTGAAAGTGAAGAATTACAATCCTCTAGGGATTAGTTCTCTATTTGAGTATCACGGACCTTCAGTTCACGTGGCAGTATTAACTAGCCTGATTGAGTGTAAGAGTATTGGGAAACTATAAGATTAATAAACTATAAACTATAAGATTGCTATGAAGTGTAATATAATACAAGGTGCAATATTAGATTTACATTTTTAGACATTTTATACTCATAGAACTATTCGATCTTTAAGTCTCTCATAAGCCGGTATGTGCTCGCACCATGTATTGACTTACAATGAATTATGATTGTTATAAATCAAAACTAAAAATAGAATAAAACTCAATAAAACTCTACTCGAAAGTATTTTTGTCTATAATTCTACCGCATCCAAGAGCACAATTTACTAACGAGTTGTTTGGCCATGGTGAATGTCAACACATTAAAAACAAGTCCTCTAGCTTACAGTGTAGCTGTCAAGACAATTTTGTTTCTCGAAAAAAACTGTCCAGATGTAAATCGGAAACGATGGTGAGCAATTAAGTGTCTAATTTTGATTTTCTTACAACAGACCGGATAAATGAAATGGTTCATGGATGTAAAGACACATGTCATGCAAAATAGTATTTATTTCGTTTGTGTAAATGTAGCAATCCCCTTCATCGCGATCGGCTTGACATAATGTACTGATTGAAAATTATTATAATTTTCCCTTTAAAATGAACACATTTAAACACATAGATACTCGATTATTTTAAATGGATCCCAAAGTCAAGATAACTAATTGGCAGTCTATGAGGTGGTATCTTTACCACAAATCAAATTGCCGCGATTGTACGACTACATTATATGATATGTACTTCCCAAAAACTAAACTCGACAATAAAGATAATGATTAAAGGGTGCAAATATGTATCTCATAAATATGTTTGATGCGTCTAAAATTGGAACTGGCGTAGAATTGTCTCTTATTTGTCCAATGTGAATTGACCACCTAGACACACCTATTTATATATAAAGCATATAATTATCATTTTAGTGGAAATTAAGAAACATCAACATTAAATATAAACATCATAGGCCAAGGGAAAAGTAATAGTAAGCCGTATATAGAAGAGACGGTTGCACAAGTCTGACTTAGACCACTTGTTAAGATGGAGATTTCAACAATATTGACATATTATTTTCAAAAAGCAATGGGCGGTTGATAGAAAATTGATAGTTTGTAGTTCTTTCCTAAGATTGAAACCCAGTCAGATGATATAGAGTAAATAATGCTGTCTTAAAGAGAGAATTTCTGAAAATCTGCAATTGCCAGGCAAGTTCATTATTCAGAAAAAAATTACATTTGTAACAAGTGATTTGAGTCATTGCTGACCTCAATCAGTGACAATTTTTGTATTAACCAACCAAATAACTTGTTACAAGTTTCAACTTGCCAGGCAATTGCAGATACCTATGGTTGCTGGTTTCTATGCAGTTCTAAGATAAAGATTTGAAAAAAAAACAATAATAAAGTTTGAAAAACACCTTGAAGAAGATTTGGGAGAGATTTGGGAATAACATTTTAAACCAGTAGGGAGAACTAGTGCCAAGACAACATTTTGAAAATTTTTCATTCTCACTTGTGCACCTGTCTCTTCTATATTCAGCTTACCATTACCTTTCCCCTGGCCTATGATACATACACCATTTGCATTCGTCTGGCTTCCCAGAGAACTTTCTCTCCGTTGGTATAGATATTTAAGCATAAATGCGCTCAGGTTAATGACGTGACAAAAAGTTAGTGTCCGTCCACGAAAGGGGTGGTTTTCTTAATCGATCGATCTGATTACGGGTGTATCGAGTGGTTGGTCTCAGTTTGAGTACTAGTATAAGATTTATGATGAAGATAAGGACGATAATTGAAGAAGATCGCTTAAAAGAAAAGAAGTTTCAATTTTAATTCACTCATTCACGACTTTGATATCAACCATCTAAGGTAAGGGGATATTGCAAACATTCATTATTATAATCATAATTTCATTTAATATCATATAAAATTAACCTAAATCAAGTATATTCAGTTTAATTTGTATCTTTGAATTTAAAGTATAATGTATTATTAATACAACTATGTTTCCTCTTTTACAGGGTCATATAAACATGCTGGTAATCTTGACAGTGCTGGTCTCGGTGGCCCTGCTTGCAAATGGACAGTTTGTTGTCCCCGTACCAACTATCACCGCTCTGTCTCCCGGAATAAGCTTCTCTATTCCCGGTAAGTACTAAAAATTAGAGAATAATGTTTGGAAATATTTCGCAAATAGATTGCAAATATGAGTGCATGTGTCCGATGGGGAAAACTGAAGAGTCTGTAAAACACGCTAAGAAAATACCAAAGGGCGTGATCAGTCGTTCTGAGAATTACGTTTGTGTGACTGTCGGTAAGAAAAACGAATTCTCAATGCCCAAAACTATGATCTAGCTGTTTAAAAAGGAATAAAAATGTTTACGGAATTTATCGAGCGGAAGGAAGCTTTCTGTATTACATCTTCACTCGTGAATACATGTTCATTTTAGACGAAAATGGGATAACAGTAGTCGGATACCATTATAGTATCAACGCAGGCTTAGGAGGAACGGCCCCAGGTCAATACAACTTCGACGTTAACTCAGCTTCAGGTTGGTCAATTCACATCAGTTAGACAAATCACAGAATGCTTTTCAATAAAACATTGATACCATACATGTATATCAATTTTTGTGTGTAGTGTCCACATTTTTAATCAACCATTTTCTAACGGTTTATTTGTAGGTGGTTTATGGTTACATGAAAATACAGGCGTTGTATTGATGAATGGTGACGTAGTCAATTATTGGGTATACGTCAATAAAGACGGGGGTGGTTACCAGTTGCTTGATCAGTCATGGACGTATGATGACGGTAACTAAAGATGCGTTTGTTGTTCAGTGTTCGTGCTTTTCTCAACGATCGAAATTTTATCGTTCGTTAGGCCTACCGAAAACACAATAGATAAAGCATAGAAGGAATGTCGCAATTTATTTACTCTATCTAGAACAAATCGCAAGGAAGCGTTTGCAGAAGAGGTCGTCAAATCTTTAGATATATTATTTAGGGAAAAATATGGGAATACTTAGCCTATATAATAAATGAAAAATGACTCGGTTTATCATTAACTACTGGGATTCATAAATGTCCGTAAACAAACGCTAGATTCATCAGAAAATGTTAGTAATTGACTCATGTTATTTCTTTTTATATGTATTTACCTTTGTAGGTAGTACAACTGTAGCGCCAACGTCAAGCCCTGGGGGTTGCAGTACGTACCCATGTCTTATATTCGAGGATAACTTTGATAGTCTCAACTATGATAACTGGCAACACGATATCACTGCAGGCGGTGGTGGGGTGCGTAAAATTATATGGTTATGGCAGGTCACAAAACAAGTCTTGGGCTATGCATGTAGGCTAACATTTTTCATGAGCACCTTTGACTAAGAACAATGTATTCATAAATAAGGATTTTCATAAACTAGATTTTTGGGGTGGGGATTTAAACAGATTTGGGTTATTTTATCATTGTGCTCTTACTTAAGTCTGTTGAAAACATCCATCTTGACTTTGCCGATATCGGCTGACATGAACATTTAAATTACCGGTTTTAGAATTGATAGTTCCAATATTATATTGTATAAAACGTATGAAAGGTATACCTACATGTATATTTATATTTTTCAGAATTGGGAGTTTCAATATTATACGAACAATCGCTCCAATAGTTACACTAAGGATGGAAATCTTTACATAAAACCCGTAAGTCGTCTTTTCAAATAGATATCCAATTCAAAAAACAGTTCGTATAACTACCTGTACTTTATCAGTTTTCACCATTCTGAGCATTTTGTGCCAAACTTGTCAAATGTGAACTCCTTGGAATTAACCCCCCCCCCCCTTGGCAAACCTGGCTATGGGTCTAATTACGATAAGAATTTGAAAAGTTAGCCTAACGATATGTGTATAACAGGTTGTTGTTGCAATTTTAGACTCTTACTGAAGACAAAATCGGGGATAACAAACTTCAATCAGCGAACTTAAATCTCTGGGGTGAGTTACAATTGTTTCCCTTATATATTTATACACAATCGGACAACTCAATACTACGAAGGAGACCATAATTCTACTCGTTAGTGTACAGGTTCTCTTAAAACATGTAGGTGTACCCCGTAGTGTTATGTGCGCAAGGCTCTTCCGCAAGTGGCGACATATTGTTATATTCTCCAAGTTTTTGCGGAGGGTGTTTGGCGTGCATTGGCATTCGGAGTTCGGTGTCATAGAAAGATGGTAGTGCACCCCACCTGGACCACCTGGAGGTTCATCTTTACATGAAGATAGCTTCATCTTTAAAATCTGAATTATTTCCTCCTCTTGTGTGAATATTTTTAAATTACACTAAAATGCCATCTTACATCGGTCTGAATCATGTAATTTTTAACGAAGTGAGAATTGCCTTACACTTATTTATAGCCACTGGCGGATCTGAATTTGAGCCAAAATAGGCCTTAAGGCCCTAAAAAGTGGGCCGTTTTGGTCATAAATGGGCCTTCTGAGGCCTTATTTTGAAGAAAATGGGCCTCAAAATTTGGGCCCACTTTTTGCTTTTAGGGCCCAAAAATATTCGGAAGTTTTTTCTCAGACTATAAGTTTGCCCCCAACCCTTCTTGTTGGTTCCAAGATCCGCCCATGATAGCGATCGATTTAAAGTGTCGAAAAGGCGTCAAAAATCATCTGTCTTTATTCTTAATATTTGAAATTATGATTTTAGGAGCGAGTCCATCGGACCTTTGTACCGGTAACCTATGGGAGGGATGTGAAAGAACAGGATCTGCTACTCGATACATCAACCCGATACAGTCTGCACTTCTCAGGAGCGTTGATAAGTTCCACTTCACCTATGGTCGAGTCGAGGTGCGAGCCAAGATGTCACAGGGAGATTGGATTTGGCCAGGTTTGTTCAATTCAAAACATATGTCTAGCTAAAAACGAACTCGATACTCCGATGCAACGGACAGATTACCTACCTCATGACATGCCCCTTAGGCTCGTCTGTATCAATCAGAACGGTTGCTCTATCCTCTGAATTAATGTCAATGATCCCCAATATAATAACAAAACAAGGCGTGTGTGGTAGGTTAGATGGCAGAAGCTTGACTGATCATCGCCGGGAGGGGTGTGAGTGTGGAGACCGCGATCCCCGGGGCTACGATGGTCAGTCTAAGACGCTGCGTTTTTACAAAACCCATTTACGCAACTCGACAGCTCAATCGGGTTTCTAAGCTAACATTATATTTCAGCAATAATGTTGTTACCAAATTATGAAGAGTACGGCAGTTGGCCAGCATCTGGCGAGATTGATCTCGTTGAAGCAAGAGGTAAGGATTTATCTTTTTTGACGCGAGATATGTTTAGAAATCCCGTTCTGTGATTTATGATATATCATGTCTGTTTAGTTAAACAATACTATAATTCCAAAACGTTTTCATTTTCGTTGGATTTTTCTGAAATGTTCGTTTTTCAAATGTTTCACTTCATCCAAAATTATCTGAGGTTTTTAAGGAATACACAGGGAGTAACAATGACAAAGTACATAATATGAAACCTATCTATATATACAAAGCCTGACTTTTTAAAATATTATGGAATGTATCAGCGCTCTCTCTCTATCGATCAATAGTTTTATTATCAGGGGTCTGACTGCTTTCACCCATAAAACAAAAGTGAAAAATATATTTTAAAACCAAAACTGACACAACCATTTTTGTTTGACTCTGGTAGGAAACAGATTCTTGGTTGATAGTGGCGGTAATTCAAAGGGCATTGACAATGTTGGTTCTACAATGCACTGGGGGCCATTTTGCTGTGAGGACCGATATGACTTGACATATGGAGAAAAGTAAGTATACCACCTTCGAAACACTGACTTCTAATTAACCCTCGAAAATCTAAAATAGTGCATTATCGCCCAAAATCACATCCTAGGTCAGACTTTGCTTTTAAATGTGGGGACTTTGATCTGGATTATACAGACACTTATAAATATCTGGGGATCTGGCTCCAAGAGCATGTGGACTCAACACACTCTGCCAGAGAAATTGCAAAATCGGCAAATAGAGCCCTGAGTGTAATTATCAGCAAATACAAGCAAACTGGGGGTATGGAGTTCGCAGTTTACAACAAGCTATATGACTCTTTAGTCCAGCCTATACTAAACTACGGTTCATCTATATTTGGCCTCAACCAACATCAATGCCTGAACAATGTTCAAAATAAAGCTGGCAAGTTCTTTCTAGGTGTAAACAAACGCACTAGTAATGAGGCTGTTAGAGGAGATCTCGGATGGGACACTCCACATTTAAAACAAAAGGTGGAATGTGCTAGATTATTCATTAAACTGAAGTCCATGAATCAGAATAGGCTGAATTTTAAAATACATGAATGGTCCATTAAACGGAAAAGCAGTTGGGACTTTAAAGTTAATTCAATGTTAAATACATGTAATATAAATTTCACTGGTCATACCAAGGACATTTTAAAACAGTTTACTAACTCTCTTCGAAATTCTGATAAATTTATCCATAACATATGGGATGATAGAAATAATGAAATTAATGGCAATAAATTGAGGCAATATAGACTGTACAAATATGGTGTGTGCAAGGAAGGGTATTTGGCCCTACCAAAGCATCACCGTAGGTCACTCGCTAGATTCAGAACTGGTACTTTACCCTTAGCAATTGAAACAGGGCGCTACACAGGTATACCATTACACGAAAGGAAATGCTTATTATGTGACATGAATTGTATTGAAGATGAAAAGCATTTCTTATTAGAATGTAGCCATTATGATGATCTAAGATGTGATTTTTATGAAAATGTTAAACAGAAATTGCCTTATTTAGATGTAACATCAGCCAATTCTACACTTCTTTTTGTCTCCATTATGAATTGTACTTCACTCCAAAGACCATTAGGAGCTTTATAATATGTGCAATAAGAGATCTCTTAATATTGATAGGCTATAATCACTAAATGAGTATGCATGTCACCTAAGTTCCCTTTATAAAATATTTATTTAAAATGTATCTAGTCAGAAACTCCTTGGTTTTATGATGCCTCTTTTTAGTGCTTCGAGCTATCAACCTTGGGGAAGATGGTCTCAATTCACTACTGCAGAGGTGTATATTATCTATGGGGTTCTTTTTATTTATTCACTGCTCATGCAAATCACATTTAGTGCAATATATGTATTTATTACTCAATATGCATCTCACATTTAGTGCAATATATGCATTTATTGTAATATTTGTCTTCAAACATATGCACTATGTATTTCACATTTAGTGCAATATTCATATTAATTGTAATATTTGACCATATGCAATATACTACTTACATTAAGTGCAATATATGTATTTATCATGCAATATGCATCTCACATTTAGTGCAATACATGTATTTATTTTAATATTTGTCTTCAACCGATTGTTTATTTCACATTTAGTGCAATGTTTATATTTATTGTAATATTTGACCATAGTGCAACATGCTACTTACATTAAGTGCAATATATGAATTTATTGTTATAACAGTCTTCGACCATATGCATGATACAATTCACATTTAGTGCGATATTTGTATTTATTGTAATTTTTGACCATATGCAACATGCTACTCTCATTTAGTGCAATATATGTATTTAATAATGATTGACAATATCATTCCATGAACTGCTTATTTATTTATGCCAAACTGATTAATCAGACTGAATTTATATCATTGGTTATTAATCATGTATAAATTTTTACCAGGGACATTTTTTGTCTCTGTCTTTATGAGTGTTGACCCAAGCTGCCCATTGGGGGTAGTAATGGGTGACACTCAGATATAATGTATACTGTGTCTCATAAGTCGGCACCGGCTGGTGATGTTACAAAATGTTGTTTTTATTATGTATTTTATATGTATATTGTAATGTCAGTGACACAAAAATAAACTATTTTAAACTAAAAAAAACTAAAACTTCAACTTCGAAACGTGGACCCGGGTTAAAGCCCTTCCTAAACAAAAGGTCGGATATGTATGCCTTTGAAATGTCCTTTACACCTGTGTGCACGTGCGTACTCAGTATTATCAAATTATTTGTGATGTGTTTTGATATAGGACCTTGACATCTGGAACTTTCGGCGATTCGTTCCACACGTATACAATGGAATGGGACGAAAATTCTATCCAGTAAGTGATTTCCCTCTACAATTCATGGCTATTTCTGACCCTTATTGATACTTAAAAAATTACAAAAGGTGCATTCATCGCTTTTCACATGTCATACATGCTTACTAATTGAGCAATCTTTAAACCTTGGTATTCTTAGGAATGAAACATTGCATCAAAGTCAGTTGACAGCATCACCGCTACCGAGCACATCCATCCACCGAAAATAATAGTCTATCGTTGTCAATAATCCCAGTCATTCTATACCTATACGTCTCCAAGTTAGAGTATTCTAACCAAAGATGGTGATTTACTATACCATTGAAGTCGGGCTAAACTCGTTTTGAGTTATAATTGACATTTCATGATTACATTAAAATTGACATTTCATGCACATATCTTTAAAGGTTCTGGATAGATGGCGAGAGCATAATGACCGCTGACCCCGGACCAAATGGTTTCTTTAATTTTGGCGGATGGGACCAACGGTTCGGTTCAGAGACAAATCCCTGGCAAAACAGTCCTAACAAAATGGCTCCTTTTGATAAACCAGTGAGTATATTTGGTCTCCCGGTCAGACTAAGGCCCTTATCCAGGGGGGTGGGTGTCCGAGGGGTTCGAGGGAATACCCCCTCGGCTAGAAATTCTTTCAAATTCATGCAGTATTTCACCATTCTGAGCACTTTTTTGAGCCGAATTGTCAAAAGTGAACCCCCCTGGCATTTTTTAAAATATGACCCCTCCGTTAATCCTGGCTACGGGCCCGGAATGTCATATCCAGCAATAATAGCACAACAAAAGAACACAAAATATGCAGTGATAGGTACCTTTAACTCAATATCTACTGCAGTTAGGAGTAAATAAATATCCATTTCCAATAAAATGTGACCTTTATGTGTATTTATCTTAAAAAGTGTTATCTTTATTTTAAATTGCATCATTTTTCGCTGTTATTTCCAGTTCTACCTGGTGATGAGAGTGGCAGTAGGGGGTACCAATGGATTCTTTAGTGATGATTTTACAAACTCCCCCTACCGCAAACCTTGGTCCGATACATCCTCTACTGCAGCCAAAGACTTCTGGTTCAAAAGAAATAATTGGTACCCAACATGGGAGGGCGAAGATGCTGCGATGCAGGTGGATTACGTAAGAGTTTGGAAGATGAAAGCTTGATTTTGATTGGGTATATAAGCCCACGTGCACTGACGACGTAAAGGCCCCGGATGTTTAATATCAACCTAATGAAGGACAAGGACAACATATATATCGAAGTATAATATGACGCAGCGGCGTCGCTACATGTACATAAAGTACGAACATGAAAACCTGTATGTTTAAGTGTAAAACAATATTTCGGAAGGTTAATACATAACTGGAATCGATTATTAATGAATTTACGTTTTATTTTTCAATAATTGTACATATGATTTGTTGAAAATATAATTTTTCATTATCGAGTATCTGTTTACATGTAATTTCGTTCAACATGCTTGTATAATGGTACTGGAATGAAATAAATGGAATGGTACATTTACATTACATTTATCCCATGTTTACAAGGATATAGATTGAATAACACGTGAAGATATATTTCATATGTGGATCAAGATATCATATTTAGCGAAAAAAATCTTAAACCATCGAATATCACTTTTAAACTATCTAATATCACTTCTTAAAAGTGATATTCGATAGCTTCAAAAGTGATATTCGATGGTTTTAAAAGTGATATTCGATGGTTTTGATTTAAAAAAAAGCTTTTTTACATTATTACGTTTTTTAAACAATTTTCCCCTAAAAAATTCAACATTTTCTTCTATTTTTTTCACATTTTTCAATTTTTTTCAGCTCCATTAATGGTGTTTTCGCTGATGATGATGACTTCGTTCCATGGGATAAAAGGACACTCTTATTGTTTATCAAAAATATCAATTATATATTATCACTCATGGATATAAATATCTTCACTCATTCGGTGTGCTCACACATGAGGATATCAATATTCACTCATGGATTAAAATGATAGTTTTAAATTCGTATTATTTCTAGGTTAAGGTTCTTCTGGTTTACGTGTATTTTCATGAGACTAAAATTACATGGCACGCATTAGACATACACCATACATTTAATTGTCATACTTGATGTCGTTTTCAAGAGGGGAAACAAGTGTTTCGTTAATAACTTGCAAAGTCTTTATGCTTATAGCTTATGCTTATAGCTTACACTAAATAACAAGGTCAACGTATATCTAAATCCTACTGTCTTAGATATCCCGCTATCATTTACATACTTTTACAGCTTCTAAGCTTAAATCAATACATGTCCATACGAGAGAGTTGATAATATAAAATTCCCATAATATCTCTAAGAATTTTATATTCTCTTGAACTTTTCAAGGAATGTGCAATATACAATGACTAATTAATGAGCAAAAAATATTTAGTACAACAAAATATTTTGCGACAAATGTTGCCGTGGCAACAACAAATCAGGTGACTCGGGGCCAATAAAAAAACACTTGATGAATGGCTTTAATTAATATGAAATTTATCAAATAATCTATAAAAAGCCATTGAAAATACATGTATGTGCAGTTCACTGGTGATCCACTCGATTACGCTGGTTACCAAAACGGTTCGTTTTGGTAACAAAATGTCGGAACATCCGGAAGGTACGATTTTCTCGTTTCTTTATTTTCAACGTTGTAGGCAGAATTCCCACGACATTTTTTAACACAAACGTGTATCAGTATCATATATTTAAGAAAGTGTACATATTTGCGAACAAATAGTTCAGAAGACAACAGAATCGTCGATTTACTTCCTCACTTAAGTTACATAAACGGTTTGGGTTAAAAGTGCATATCTTAACTGTTTTTCGAAAAACCGTTTATGTAACTTAAGTGAGGAAGTAAATCGACGATTCTGTTGTCCTCTGAGCTATTTTTTCGCAAACATGTACATTTTCTAAAATATATGATACTGATGTACGTTGTGAGAAAAAACGTCGTGGGGATTCTGCCTACAACGCGTGAAATAAGGAAAAAAGAAAAATCGTGCCTTCGACGTTCCGACATTTTGTTACCAAAACGGTTCGTTTTGGTAACCAGCGTAATCGAGTGGATCACCAGTGCAGTTGATTCTTTTCGATTATTTCAATAGTCTGGTGTCCTAAAAGGTGTTTGACATGCTTCAATAAAAGTGATGTCAGATCCTATGACTGTATCAACAAAATCCAGAGGAATGTTGACTTTGCAGCCTTTAGTTCCTTTTCAATATGCTCAGGCCACATAGGGAGTGTAATTTTGTTGATATCTTCACCATATAGTTGATTTGGATTACTCTTGGACTAAATAAAGTGTATGACCTTACAAACTTAACATAATTTCAGTTTGATTTTATTTTTTAAGATCTCCGCATTTATACTCACTAATTTCAGATCATTGGCTGTGAATAGGGTGGCATTCTCGAATTCAACATTCGTCTGCAAGTTGACGATTTGACCTACTTTTAAGGACAAACTTATTTTAATTTGAATATACAGGGTGTTCAGGAAATAAAGATAATAATGTCATAACTTTTTTATTTATTCATGGATTTAATTAAAATTTGCAGGGATTATAGTTTAAACATATTTAAATTTACTTTTGGAGTTTCAGCTTCGGGCGATTTGATTTGTTATTTCTGTGGTTGGCATAGCAACGCAAGTAGCACTAAGGCGGGGCACATGGAATAACCGCAGTAGTTTCTGTGTTACATTTAGCATGGCAAACCGATTTTAACTCCATATTTAAAGCTTTCTTGGTGCATCTCCATGATAAAATTCACCTATTCTTTTGTTTTATGATATAAAAGTCAAATAAATGCTTTTTTAATGATATTCAATGGGATTTTCATGACTTAATGCAGGCATTACATAGAAAGCGACCCGGGATGCAATTTCTCTTCCACTCGGGCAATTCCCCCTCCCATACTGCTGCCATAATCACTAAAGAAATTGAGCAGCTGAGATTAGAGCAACTCAAGCATCCACCTTATTCACCAAACCTAACGCCAATGATTTATACTTCTTTGCTGAATCAAAACGGGACTTAAGAGGCCATGTATTAGAGAATACTCATGCTATACGTTCACATGTGTTAAAACAGACGTCAGGAAATGAGTCAAGAAGAATTCTGTGAAGTATTTGAAGAAGGTTCAAGAGGCAAAGAGTTTGTGTCTAAAATGGAGGAAATTATGTAGAATAAATTGATAAATTGGCAAAGAATTTCAGGCTTATAGTTATAACTATGTTTAAGCATCCATTTTAAGTCATAAACATGATAGAATCTCTTCTTAAAACATTTAAAACATGCGAATATACTGCAGTTATTTCACCTGCCCGCCTTAGCGCTACTCGCGTTGCTTTGACAACCACAGAATCAACCAATCAAATCAACTGAACTTGAAACTCCAACAATAAGTTAAAATATGTTAAAACTATAATAATAATTTAAGGATCAACTTATTTTAATTTGAATATACATAGTAGCAGGTACTACCGTACTCATATTTACCATATGGATAGTAGCGGTACTAATCCTATTTTTAAATGAATCGGTAATAAAATAGTAGATTAGATCGTCAGCTTACGGCTGGGTTGAATTCGTTAAAGCTAGCTTGGAGTCTGGTATCATATTTAATGAAGCATGTAAACCACGCGTGTAAACATCCCCTATTAAAAAGAATGTATATTCTGTCAAAATGGCATCAACGTATATTGATGAATAAAAAAAATGAGAACGATTATGATAACTTCATGATCAAGCTTCGTATGTGCAGGATTACAAAGTCTTCGGGCATACTCACCGTAAATAAACTGTCTACTCATGTCTAAATGCTGATGTCTTGGATAGCTCGCAATCATTTGCATAGTTTTACGCAGTTTCTCTATGCTTCATCAAATCAGCACATACATTCATGATAACAAAGTGTTAGGGCATAAAGCTTTTCCTAAATGAGCAAGATTTACGCATGTTTAGATACTGCTGTCTTAGATACCCGACCACTATTTAGGTTATTTTACAATTTCTCTAACTTTCATCGAATCAACACATACATTCATGATAACAAAGTGTTTGAGCATACAGCTTTTGCTAAATAAGCACGATTTACGCATGTTTAGATACTGCTGTCTTAGATACCCGACCACTATTTAGGTTATTTTACAATTTCTCTAACTTTCATCGAATCAACACATACATTCATGATAACAAAGTGTTTGAGCATACAGCTTTTGCTAAATAAGCACGATTTACGCATGTTTAGATACTGCTGTCTTAGATACCCGACCACTATTTACGTTATTTTACATTTTTCTAAACTATATCAAATCAGCACATACATTCATGATAACAAAGTGTTTGAGCATACAGCTTTTGCTAAATAAGCAAGATTTACGCATGTTTAAATACTGCTGTCTTAGATACCCGAGCACTATTTACGTTATTTTACAGTTTCTCTAAACCTCATCAAATTGCACATAGACTCATGATAACAAAGGTTTAAGGCATAATGCTTTTGCTAAATGAGCAAGATTTACGCATGTTTAAATACTGCTGTCTTAGATATCCGACCATTATTTACATTATTTTATAGTTACTCTAAACGTTATCAAATCAACACATATGTTCATGATAACAAAGTGTTTGAGCATACAACTTTCGCTAAATAAGCAAGATTTACGCATGCTTAATACTGCTGTTTCAGATATGACACCACTACAGTATTTACATAGTTTTACAATTTCTAAGCTTCAAGGAATCAATACATATTTACTATAATTACAATGCCTTTGAGCATATAGCTCATCCTTATTACTAACAAGGAATCTTCGTACCTAGATGGTAGTGTCTAAGATATCCCGCCACCATTTGTATTGTGTTACAGTTTCTAAACTTCATCGACTTATTATGACTTATATAAAATAACTGAACATATGGGTTACCATGAATGAACATGATCTACACATTACCAGATAATACTGTTGTAGATATCCATCATTTGTGTAATGTATAAAGCATGAGTACTGGTTATTAGGTGAAATGTTTCTCCTAGCCAGTACGAATGGTTTATATTACTCAAACCGACACTGGCTGAATATTACATACAGCCCACACTGACTGACTCTTGTGAAAGGTAAATGCTCCATGATCCATTTAAGCTTACATTGAACTAACATCTGTAAATTTTGATTTCTTTTGGAGTGACTGTTAAAATATTTTCGGGCATTGTTTCCTAAAATTAACACTAGATGCTGCGCATCTCGTGCAAATATTGGAAAGCAGCACTTCAGGGAATGGCCATTCCACATTGAGTCTAGGGCTTATACCCTTAATCCACAGCCAATTGCATCTTCATAAACCTACATAGGCATATAGATCCTTGACATTTTCTCCAAGAATCCCTGGCTCGCGACTGAACTGGTGTTCAAGAGCATCGTATATAGGAAATGCGTATGCCCTGCTCTCGTTGTTTTTGTCCGAATCTTCGTTGTTATAGAATGTGAACATTCCTATTGCAACGTGATTATGTGGACCACCATTTTCTGCAACTATGATTGCACCACTGTCTCCACTGTCTGCGAAATATCCTTGCACATTCTTATCCAAATCCTTCGCAATTTCAATAACGTTATGGAGTGAGACAGTCTTTTCCTTACCATATGAATCAATATAGTCGAAGTCTACACTACATGATTTTAATTTGATTATTCCAAATGTACAACCTGTCTTGCAACCTGTTTTCTGCACTTTGATATCTCCTGTCATGCCCTTCAGTGTGTCATGTGGTACCATGGTACATTTGCGGTACTGACTTCGTATGCTAGAGTGTGGATCTATTTCTATCATTGCGATATCAAATGTTTGACGTCGTTTTCTAGGTCTTTCTCCGTGTCCTAATCTTCCATCGGCATCGACATATGTTCTCAGTTTCCCGATAGGTTTCATGACAACTTCATCACTTCCAGGTACACTGTTACAAATATAAACGTCTTCATCTATCTTTGAAATTGGGATAACATGTCGGCAAGTCAATGCATACGTCCTCATATTCGGTGACATTGCACTCGTTACATCTATTAAGCCACCCAAGGTTCCAGATGATGCCGATCCTACTTTGTGAATGCCTGCTAATTCTATATGCCCACGTTTTGCGTCAGATGGTTCAAATATGAAGTTATGCTTTGGAAAATTCCGTTCGATATTCGTTTTCACAGATGTGGCTGCACCACGTTCTACGAATATGGTATACCTCAAATCGTTGCATTTCATACCATATCTGTATACTCCTTCAAGACTAAAATGTAAAAAAATTAGTTGTTAGCAGTTGCGAGATCAAAAATAAAGAAACACACTACACATTACTTGCTTTGCCAATCAGATTCAATATAAGATACTGATATTCTGAAGAATATGCATTCTAAGAAGTGTATGTCTCTGATTTTATATGAGTATAGGACGGGGTGAGCCAAAGAAGCCAAAACATGCCAAACTCACCCGATATTTACCTCCTGACTTATATTTTGGGACAAGAGATGAGACTGCCATTTTGAGCCATTAAACCAATTCGATTAGGTCAATGAAATAGAATGAAGGTACATTGGACATGATGTTATTGTGCCAAAGTGAACCTATGCTGAATGACTGAGTTATCAACATTTGTTTGGGTAACATTTTGTGGCTCACCCTGTAAATCTATATGAAACACATACTTGTGTATTTCCTGTAGATCGGATACACTGATGTTACACACATCCCTAGAACTGTCGTCTATACACGCAAGACACTCTTCATCGGAGCTACTCGAAGAGGATAGTCGACTCCTAAACGAATCTAGTCAAAATTGAGGCGCATTGTTATTTAGTTGTATGATTATGCAGTATTTTATATGTGTATTGGCTTAGAGAAAGGAGCGGTGCATTGTTTACAATTACATCATTGTTATTTAAAGAGGGTATGTACCAGGTTTCTTCCCCGAACAATCAGTGATTATCCATTTTAATTGCTCATATAATATCTTGCATATTACATAAGATATGTCTTGAAACACTCTACGCCAAGGTTGTTTAATTGTACTTACAACATCCAGTATGTTCTACATCAAACAGTTGTCCTTTGGCATCAAGTTCATGTTCTTCGCTGGTTTCTGTGAAATAAGATGGCAGTGATATAATACGTACTTTGATACTTTATTTATATTTGTCTGATTGCAATGTGCAAGCGTTTCCATGTATCTTGCCACATTCAAAGTGTGCTCAAATCGTACTGCTAGCCCAATATACAAATATTTCTAATGGTTGGTTAAAGTTGGAAAATATAAATCGAAAGTAAATAGACCATAGACTTGTTTGATACTAGAAAAACAGCAACTCCACGGAGTAGCAAATCCCACCGAACAAAACATATTTAGTTAGATTATTAGTGGCCATCTTGAATATCTTTCTTGAGCAGAGCTTGTTTGTCCCTAGGCATCAGCATATAAAATTTGAACCAAATCCGTTCACTGGTATTTGAGTTATCAAAGATTATGTTTATTACGAAAAATGGCCGCCATTTTGATATTTAGCAGCCATTTTGAAAATCGTTTCTTCAGTGTAGCTCCTTAATTGTCCCTAGGCATCAGCATATAAAACTTGAACCAAATCCGTCAACTAGTATTTGAGTTATCAAAGAGTTTTTTTATGAAAAATGGCCGCCATTTTGGTATTTAGCAACCATTTTTAAAAACTCTTCTTCAGCGTAGCTTCTTTATCCCTAGGCATCAGCATATAAAATTTGAACCAAATACGTCCACTAGTATAAAATGAAAATGGCGGCAATTTTGAAATTCAGTCGCCATCTTGGAAATTCTTTCTTAAACAAATTTACTTTTTCCCAGGTATCATCATATAAAATTTGAACCAAATCCGTTCACTGGTATTTGAGTTATCAAAGATAACGTTTTTTTACGAAAAATGACTGCCATTTTGATATTTAACAGCCATTTTGAAAATCACTTCTTCGGGATAGCTCCTTTGTCCCTAGGCATTAGCATATGAAATTTGAACCAAATCCGTCAACTATTATTTGAGTTATCAAAGATTTGATATTTATGAAAAATGGCGGCCATTTTGAAATTAAGCCGCCATCTTGAAAATTCTTTTTTGAACAAATTTACTTTGTCCCTAGGCATCATCACGAAGGCATAAGCCCATAAAACTTGAATCAAATCCGTCAACCGGTATTTGAGTTATCGCCCGGACAAACGGACGGACGGCTTTCCTATGCCCCCCTCGAACTTCGATCGGTGGGATAATTATTACTATCTCTGATACATACATGTATATCAAATTATTTCGCTGATTGGTCAATGTTTTTGAATGGTGCATGCATAGGTTTGCAATAATTCAATTACAAAATTTTATGATATATATTAGTTCTTTGGTGCTTTTTTACCGGTATCTTGTTTGTCACCATGCTTGTAGCCGTTTTATTAAATCAGATTTTTTCAATAACTCAATTACAAGATTTCATAATCTATTAGTTCTTTCATGTTTTTGTTTTTTTTACCAGTGATAGTATTTTCTTCATCATGCTTGTCGTCGTTTAAGTTGGATTCGATTTCGACGTCGCATTTGCCACCCGAGTCTACTTTCAAATCAAATCTGTCTACTCCAGTGTTTCCGTCTACTGAAGCAGCATCACCATCGTTATGGGGTTCTCTGAATGCATAAATATACAGTTTAAAGATGGATCACATGTATATTGACGTTTGTCGCGATCGTCGCGATCAAAAATACACTCTTAAAATATTACAAATGTTCGTTACATAAATTATTTACCGAGAGCTAGATGCTTGTTTTTTCAATTGTCAAGATTGCTTTCCTACGTATCTTCTGCTAGACAGATTTATTTAGTGGTTTTCTGATTATCGTGAATATGGCAAAACTCGTTTTTAATCTCATTTGTGGACATCAAAATCTTTGTAAAGGCTGTTCATGAAACAGGAACGATAAAACTCTGGAAAACTTTTTTCCAAATGGACTACAAGCCATGTTACACCAAGACTAATCTCATATACCTTTGTATCTCGTTTAGAGCTGATATACTAATGCCACATACGACATCTGATCTATCCTCCACTTCTGTACACGCAGGACATTCAACGTTGCCATCATCAGAGCTACTTGAAGAGGATCTTCTACTGCTGAATGAAACTGTTTCAGAAAAAATGCATTGAAATCAAAATGGTTGCTGTCCAACTTATTACAAATCAATTTGCAGTGTTAATGAATCAATCTTGAGATTTGATAATCAGGGATTGGAAATGCATCTGTAGTTTCGTTGAGTACACTTTTAAAGCCTGGAACTCTTATACCCATGAGTAAGAGTCTATCGGATTTGAAGAGGAGAAAACTAGGAGACGTATAAACGTTCACTTTAAAGCCAGTTTATGAATATGGTAATTACATTTAAGAACTTTTTTATCCATCGAGGAAACATTCAGTTCTCACATATTATCACCCAAACTCATGTTTGTCAATAATGGGGGGTCAACCACATTTTTTGGTCGAAATCAAAATATTTCTTTGCATCGGTTAACACCATATTTTGAAAACTAGATGGGTGGTTGACGATTTATCAATTAAATGTTTCCCCAATGTACTTGGTCGTGAACTTGAACGTGAGGGTCGTATTTGCTGGCAAGGAAACACTACAAAACTTCACAGACTACCAAATAATACTTCACTTTCCTTCTTTTCGAACGAAAGTATCTTATGCGTTTCTTCCCCTGATATAGTTGAACTCGCACATAATTGTATTTGTACTTACAACCTCGAGCTCCATCTGATTCCACACCTTGTACTTGTACTGTATTATTTGTTTCATATTCTTCCCCGGTTGCTATTGAATAAAATGTTAGTGATTTTTATTGTGGCATTATCACTGTTTAACAACTAGTTACTGTACTTAATTTGAGGGAACGTCAATGTAACAAATTTTGATGAACTTCCTGAAAACGATTTTTCTCGATTTCAAACTACTTATTAGTCACATTGCAGATTGTAATTTGGCACAGTTAGACAATAAAGTTTAGCTTTAAGAAATGTCCTCGGTTTGGAATTTGACGTAAGTCGTCAAAGTAATATACATTATTGGTAATATGACTTTAGTCAATGTAACAAAAGTGAGGTCCTAAAATATATACGAATTGCAACTTCATTTACAAAACCAATTCCAAATCGAAGACATTTTTAAAGCTTGACAATATTTCCTAGCTTTGTGCCAGATTTTAATCTGCAACTTGATTTATATATTAAGGTTTAAATTGAGAAAACAAAAAATCGTATCCAGGAAGTTCATCCATTCTGCTACTTTGACGTTACGTTTTGGAACAGTGAATATGTTTATGCTTGTAATTTGTAAAGTAACATTGTGTAGCTTCGCACAATCGTGGTGTCAGTGTCGACGGTTTTGCAAATAGATATTTAAAGCTGGTTTAAAGGTTGGTGAATCGTTAGAGAGAAAACGAAATGAATAAAGTGAAATATTAAACGCATGAACCAGGTCTAATTTCAACTTCACATCATTTAAAATTCTTTGTCGTTATCGAGATTATTAAGATTCGATATTTATGTAAATCATTATATCGGTAATACATGTAAAAGGTCAATAGTTAGGTTTACTGCATTGCTTTTGATGTAAAGTCTGTGTTCGAAAACGTCAATAACGATTCGAATACAAGATTGGACCATCTATAAATGATAGTTTTAAAGTATCTCTTTACTTGCATCTGCCTTGTTTTCACGAAACTCTTCGTCAGATAAAAATGATTGGCCTTCGACATCGGATAGGCTACACGGTTCTTTTTGTAAATCGGGTTTCTCTTCTCCAGTGTCACCGTCTTCTGGGACAGCGTCAACATCGTAATGGTGGTCTCTAATAGCATAAATATATAGAATTTGCTTCAAACAATAGTCGTTCTGTCAACGTTCAAATTGCTAAAAATGATACCAAGTGAAAGTTCTCAGAAAAATAATATTTTCTTGGTAAAAATGTAATAGGCTAAGTCTAAAAAGTACACAATTGCCAACTGCCATCTCCTCAAACTGTATCCACGGTGGATTTCTGATGAGTGTGTAAAATTTAAAAAGCTCATCGTGTCGTGAATAAAAATCTAATTTAAAATGTTGCAGGCATCCAAAATCTTTATACAGACCTGAAAAACGCGTAACGTGGACGAGTAAAAAATGCTCACCACTAACGTTGATAGAACTGTGTCAGATCATACTGTGGTCGATCAATGTATAATGTTACGTATTCACACATATTTAGGCAAGGTGTGTCCGATTTAGTCAATCCGGACAAAGTATTTCATATAACCCCAGTGCACTGGTGATCCACTCGATTACGCTGGTTACCAAAACGAACCGTTTTGGTAACAAAATGTCGGAACATCCGGAAGGTACGATTTTCTCGTTTCCTTATTTTACACGTTGTAGGCAGAATTCCCACGACATTTTTTAACACAAACGTGTAATAGTATTATATGTTTAAGAAATTGTACATATTTGCGAACAAATAGTTCAGAAGACAACAGAATCGTCGATTTACTTCCTCACTTAAGTTACATAAACGGTTTGGGTTAAAAGTGCAGCTCTTAACTGTTTTTCGAAAAACCGTTTATGTAACTTAAGTGAGGAAGTAAATCGACGATTCTGTTGTCCTCTGAGCTATTTTTTCGCAAACATGTACTTTTTCTAAAACATATGATACTGATGCACGTTGTGAGAAAAAACGTCGTGGGGATTCCCCCTACAATGCGTGAAATAAGGAAAAAAGAAAAAATCGTGCCTTCGACGTTCCGACATTTTGTTACCAAAACGGTTCGTTTTGGTAACCAGCGTAATCGAGTGGATCACCAGTGCAGTGCATCATATAACCAATCACCGCGTCCATGGTCATTCCTTATGTGGTTGCCAGGGTGACCATTGCAAAAAGTTTCATTGAAAATATGTTCTTTCAGTGATTTCAAGACATTTCCATGACATGGTAGAAGATATTTTGCAATGTTTGAAAAGAATTTAAGCCCAATACTCAATGCATTGTGGAATGGTCATTCCTTTCAGACTTTGTTTCCAAAAGTTAACACTCGAAACTGTGCATCTCGTGCAAATTTGGAAAGCAAAGTTACTGTATGCAAAAACTTCATTCTCGTGTCACTTATCAATTGGTTAAATCACTCTTCGAAAAAATGAAAATGTACTCGCTTGTTAATTTAAGGATTTAAGCCCTGGACTCAGTGCAGTGTAGACTGAATCATTCCTAAAATGGTGTTATTTCAACTTTTGCACGAGATGCGCAGCATCGAGTATGAAGTTTAGGAAATAACGCCTTGGTCGGATGAATTCGTCACAATGCATTAAATCTTGGGCTTGATATATTTCCATACATTGTAAAATGTTTTCTAGGAAATCACCTTAAAGATACGGAATCACAAAAAGAACATATTTTCAATTAATTACTTTTGCAAGAGTCAAGATTGCAAAGGATCAATTTCAATATGTGGAATGCAAGTTTTCATCTCGACATCCATTCAACGAGTGACCTTGGGTGGGTTATTGAATTGGCTAATACATATTGCAGTGCAGTTATTTGAAATACTGTGTTCGGATTGCTGGAATCGGACACCCCTTGCCTAGCTATGTATGAATTATATTTTAAGTATCTTGTTCAGTGCTAAATACAAAACATATAGCTATGCTTAATAGTGCTTAGTTTGAACAGGTTTTGAGTTGCATTTCTGCATCCTTCAAGATGTGTACTACATTTTTATGTGGGCCTTTTTATACTAGTTTAAATAAAGGAAATAAGAAATATGCTAACTAATCCGTTTTCCCTAACTAATACGTGCGTAGGTGCTTCTTATTTTTACCTGATGTAAAGTTGTTTTTGATGTTGAATCAGTAGATCGTCTTGAAGTTCGTCTACCATAATCTCCCCATCTAAGATTCTGTGTGCTGTTCTTGTTTCCCCAGCTGTACTTTCGAATGTATTTTCAACTTCTTCGTCTTGTTTACCAGGTCTCTTACGTTGTATAACTAAAAATAATATATTTAATTAACTTGGCAGCACAAAAATAAAACCAAATGGTAATTTTACTAAGTCTACTTATTTTCTTGCAACGGCTGCCTGTGTTGAGTTTCAAATGGGGAGGTTGGTGTTTTGATTTCTTGAAATCAAATTCAATTTGAAAGAATTTACATTGTACTTTCATCTTTATAATGTAGTCCAAAATGGCCATTCTAATTTCTCATGCGTAGCCCTATTTCACTTTAGCTCAATGTTAAACTATATAAGAATGCAAATGATTCCACGTACCTTCTTGTTCATCATTTTTCTTCAGTGCATCTAAGACTGAGCTCATCATTCTTCTTTCATACAAAAAGTGCATAAATGGTCTAAGTTTTGAGCGCAATTGACCACTCTCAATGAACTCCTCGATTGAGGATGAGTAACTTCGTTTATTTGAAGCATATGCATTGAAGACCCCTAAACGTGCGATGTGACTTAATGTTAATTTTGATTTCACCTTCAGTTCATTAAGTTTTCGTAATGCCTCCTGTTGTTGTTCACTTGTTGCATTCGGATACATCGACATCAGATGCTGGTAATTTTGATCGACAGCACCAACTACAGAGAATAGGCAATACACGCCCATAGCATTTGAGGAAGAACGCTTTATCGAGGTTAATGCAGAATTTCCAAACTTATCCTTAACATTGATGTCTGCGCCATGGGAAATAAGGAGCTTAGCGAGACGTGGTAAGTCTTGTTCAATAGCTACTATCAACGGGGTCTTTCCACTGTCATTCCTGCTATTGATGTCTTCACATTCCTTTATTATACGCTCTGTATATGTCAAGCTATTCTCCATAATTGAGTCTACCAAGGCAGTCTTTCTTTTCAAGTCATTCAATATTGTCAAAATTTCCTTGACATCAACTTCAAACATCATGTATTCGTTTTGATCGGCAGGAATGTGACCACTGTCAATGAGATACTGGATTGATGACTTGTACCCTTTTTTATTTGAAGTACATATATTGTAGACAACTTGTCTTGCAAAATACTTCAAAGATAGTCTGGATTTAATAGTCCATCTATCCAGTTTCAGTTTAGTTTCATGTTGTTGGTCATTTGTTGCGTTTTTGTATAATGACATTAGATGTTGGTAATTGTCATCTGCAGCACCCTTCGTGTAAAGCAAGGAATATATTTTCAATCCTTCGGGGGATGACTTCTTTATAGAGTTAAGAAGGGACTTTCCCTGTGTGTCCTGGCCACTTAAATTCGCACCATGGTCGAGTAAAAGTTCGACATACTCTAATTGTTCTCCTTGAACAGCGGACATAAGGATTGTTGTTCCACTATCGTCCTGTATATTTAGGTTAATTCCACATTCTACTAGAAGTTTAAACCCATCAAAACATCTGGCTTCAAAGGCATACATCAATGCTGTTTTCCCACCATTGTACTGTATAGTTAAGTCAGTTCCATAATCTACTAAAAGTGTAACAATATCTAAATCTCTGTTTTTGAGAGCATATAGCAATGCTGTATTACCAGTTTCATCCTGGATATTGACCTCGGCGCCATGATCTAGAAGAAAACTGGTATATTCTGGGATGCAATCCTTATGACGATCTGTAAACAAATAATCTTTCTTTATTGCTAAATGCATCAATACCGTCTGTCCCTTGTTGTCTTTGGAATTTACATCTGCTCCATGATCTATAAGTTCCTGAAGTAAACGATTGCTTTCTTGGGGATTCAATGCAGCATATAATAATACAGTGTCCCCATCTTTATCCTTAGCATTCACATCTGCACCATGCTCCAATAGTAGAAGTACACGAATACCTTCTTTGTCATTCAACGCAGCACTCATCAATGCACTGACCCCATCGCTATCCTTAGCATTGACATCTGCGCCATTTTCCAAAAGTAGACGAAGACAAATATCATTACCTTCTTGGGTATTGCTTGCAGCATATAATAATGCAGTGTCCCCATATTGATCCTTAGCATTCACATCTGCACCATGCTCCAATAGTAGAAGTACACGAATACCTTCTTTGTCATTCTTCGCAGCATGCATCAATGCAGTCACCCCATTGTAATTCTGAATATTGACATCTGCGCCGTTTTCCAGAAGTAGACGAAAACAAATATCATTACCTTCTTGGGTATTGCTTGCAGCATATAATAATGCAGTGTCCCCATCTTTATCCTTAGCATTCACATCTGCACCATGCTCCAATAGTAGTCGAACACGAGTAGCTTCTTTGTCATTTATCGCAGCACGCATCAATGCAGTGACCCCATTGTAATTCTGAATATTGACATCTGCGCCGTTTTCAAGAAGTAGACGAATAAGGGTACCGTCTTTGTTATTACTTGCAGCATATATCAATGCAGTATTTCCATTGTTATCATTAGTGTTGACATCTGCGCCATTTTTCTGAAGTAGATGGGCACATTCAACTGAATTCTTCCCTGTAGCATGTATCAATGCTGTTCGTCCTTTATGGTCTTTTTCATTGACATTTACACCAAGATCTAAAATTAGACGGCAACCTTCCATATTATTCACCGCAGCAGCATATTCCAGAGCATGATATCCATTTTCGTCCACTGCAAATCCATTTGCACCATGTTTTAGAAGTAAACGCGTACAGTTCAGGCTATTAGATACCAGAGAAGCGTTCAATGATTTTTGAATCATTTCTTTTGTAATATCTAAACGCTCACTGTTTTCGAGGAGCAAGCTCAATATGTTTGCAGATGAACAAACCGAAGCATATTTGAAGCTATTTTCGTCAATATCAGCCCCGTGGGCAATGAGAATATTTGCACAATCGTAGTACTTGGCCTCATCTACCACCGATGTGTCCTTAATTTGGGATACATCTTGTCCCGTATCCTGATTTTCACTTGTTTTGTCGTCTTCATCATCATCAGAATCAGAATCAGAATCATATAATTCCAAATCTAATTTGAAACTTTCGTATCTTTCCAATGTTATTTTGTCAATTGTTTCCAATATCGCATAATCCAAAGCGTTATTTTCATCATGGTCGCGTATGTTTAGATCTACGCCATACTTTAACAAAACACTGACACATTCCAAGTCTAGATTTCCTCCTTCTATTGCATGTATCAACGTTGTCTTTCCATCATCGTCAATGGCATTTACGTCAGCTCCATGCTCTAACAATTGAATAGCACTGTTAATATTGCGCTTTTTTATGGCCAACATAAGCGAAGTTTCATCTTCAAAGTTTTCAGCATCGATATCAGCGCCTGCTCTGGTCAATAATGTTAACGTGTCAGTGTCTAAGTTAACATTATTTTCAACGGCCCATAATATTGCATCTTTTGGTTGGACTCTATGAATCTGGAGTTTTGCAATCAGGATACGCCAGTCTGTTCTCTGATCAGCGTTGGCGATTGCTACTTGTATAATCGCCAAGCGCATTTGATGCAAACTCAAAGCCATGTCTTTCTATTTCCCTCTAGTCATCGTGTAGTCGTTGTTTACTGTGTTTTCTCTACGAGAATTATTGCGCCAAATATTCACCACCATCTTGTATTGAGCCTCTTCCTTCTGAGAACTGTGTAAATAGGACGTGGTATGTACACTGTATTTTTGATTTCAAAGCAGATTTGCACTTGACAACGCGTACAACTTTGGACTCAATAGAAAACATTTTTGTTATAAAGGGCTCATAGAAAATTCTTGTTCAACGCGATAGAGTTTTATTGACGCATTGTAAACATTAATAGACATAGAATTGTAAAAACAGAATTATTTGACATATTTATGAAGGACCACTCAAAAGAACGATCTATAATTGCTACATGTACAGAAAGTACGAACATGCATACCTGAATGTTTAAGTGAAAAACAATATTTTGGAAGGTAAATACATAACTGGAATCGATTTTTAATGAAAATACAGTATGAACTTTATATTTTTCAATTATTGTATATTTGTTTTAGTAAAACCTATATCATAGTTTCTCATTATCGAGTATATCTGTTCAACTACACATATATCTGTCCATTTAAAAGTCATACATTATATAAAACGTTCCAGGTGAACGTTTTTCTGGTTTTACATGCATTTAATGATCATTTCAAATTGTCAAGCACGCATATATGACATAAACTACGCATATAATTATCAGAGTATTTGATATATATTTATACCGAGTGAAATCAAGTTGTCCGAAAATAAAGCAATTGAATAATTATACTTAAAAATATAATTTTTTTTTGTTTTCGTTCAAAGTGAGTGGACATCGCTGAGTGAAGAAAATAAAAAGCCTTCTCACGAGGCAATTTCCAAAGAGTTTTACTCAAACAGGAAATTAACCTGTAGTGGTCTGTTTTTCCATTTTGATTTAGCATGTTCACGAGTAGCTTTGTCTTGGCTCTTCAATTTACAGCCTGATTTAATATTGATTAAGCACTTATTAAGGGGATTATGTACAACAAACTTCAAATCACGTTTTACAACTTATCACACCGGTGTAAAAGGGTAGGAGGTCCTATTATGGTCCTACTCTCCATTGATTTATATGGTGACCTAAGTACAACTATTTCCCTCATTATCTTATACGCAATGAGGGTCAGTAAGGGCCGTTAAAAAGGGGGACCATAATCCCTGGGGGACCATCATTTCTTTCACACCTGAACACCGGTTGTCACAAATGGCGGACGTAACCTTCGCTTCAACTCATTAATTGGTTCTCATTTCATTGGACCTTATCGCCGCTAATTCTGTGTCTTTATTTGATCGGTAAAATTGGAGCCTTCATTTTGATTGCAGAACATATTTAACTACAGGGCCATTTGAGAGTTGAACCATGATACTTGGCAAATCAATGTAACTTGGGATAAGCTTAAAATGATATATGACACACACTATGACGACACAGGTATATGTCCGCCTAAGGGGGGCATACTTTCGGGACACCCTGTAAACAATGAGTAGAAAAACACTTTGATTGATTGTTCTAAAGGATTTTAATCTAGCTGCTCTATTAAACATGGAGTAAATGAAAATCAATTCGAATACGATCCCGTGGCCGCCATTTATGACAACGGTATCTGACATGAAAACGGTATTGTTTGGTTCGGTATTAAATGGTCCCGAACTGATTATATTTGCGGAAACTCTGAAACTCCTCCAATGTCTTTCTTATATTATCTGCGTTGCAAATGCATATATCGGATACTTTAGCCATACTTTGAACAGATCTATTGAGCATTCGTCACATCGTAAAATAACACGTCACACTCACGTCTCGATGTTCCTGTTACAACCTGTTGAATCTGGGTTACATTTTATGTTAAAATTAAAACATACAATGATAAAAGACAATCATTTTTTAACAAAGTAAAACACTACATTCCTGATTTTGATTTTACAGACACTAGCATTAACAATTTGAAGATAATCCTTAATAATCCGAAAATTGCATCAATTACATCGACCTATATATCAAATATTTTCCACATTAGAAATGATTATGTATAATGATTATCTAAAGTGTCCCATAAGCGTTTGAAGGTTGGGTGCACGCTCGTTTGGATCGATTGTTTACGTATGTGAAAATACATCTTAATTACAATCATTTATAGTAACAGCAGGCCCATAGCCAGAATTTGCCAAGGGGTTCACTTTTTGAAAAATTCAAGGGATGTTCACTTTTGACAGTTTTGGTCTAAAAATTGCCAAAATCACTTAAAGAGTGCTCAGAATGGTGAAAAACTGCATGATTTTGAAAGGATTTTTGGCCAGGGGGGGGGTCGCTCTAACCCGTCAACCCCCCCCCCCCACTGGCTACGGGCCTGAACAGTCTCTAAACTTTAACAAATCGTGACATATACATACATTTACAGTCACTGAAAATCGGAGTACCTAAAATGAACATAGCTCTAGCCTACAAATGTCTAAATGTAGAGATCCCACCAACGTTTAAAAACAGCTTCTAAACTGGATCGATTGTGTCATATACGGAATTATGAAGTAACTTAGCATGTGTCGTACCTTAAATTAATATGAAATATATACTCATATCTAAATGATACTGTTTAAGATATCCCACTTACTTTTATATTTACAGTTTCTACTACATGTATTTACCTTATTGTTCCATATTAACAGAATAACAAAGTCACTGAAAGGTTTATCACACCATGTTACCTACTCATATCTTATGATACAGCTTGATATATTCTACCTTCATATGTACTTACAGATTCCAACATATATTTAATTGTTCCATATTAACAGAATAACAAAGTCACTGAAAGGTTTATCACACCATGTTACCTACTCATATCTTATGATACAGCTTGATATATCCTACCATGATATGTATTTACAGATTCCAACATTCATTTAATTGTTCCATATTAACAGAATAACAAAGTCACAAAAAGGTGTATCACGCCATGTTACCTACTCATATCTAGATGATACAGCTTGATATATCCTACCGTCATATGTATTTACAGATTCCGACATTCATTTAATTGTTCCATATTAACAGAATAACAAAGTCACAAAAAGGTGTATCACGCCATGTTACCTACTCATATCTAGATGATACAGCTTGATATATCCTACCATGATATGTATTTACAGATTCCAACATTCATTTAATTGTTCCATATTAACAGAATAACAAAGTCACAAAAAGGTGTATCACGCCATGTTACCTACTCATATCTAGATGATACAGCTTGATATATCCTACCATGATATGTATTTACAGATTCCAACATTCATTTAATTGTTCCATATTAACAGAATAACAAAGTCACAAAAAGGTGCATCACGCCATGTTACCTACTCATATCTAGATGATACAGCTTGATATATTCTACCATCATATGTATTCATAGATTCTCAAATTAATTTAATTGTACCATATTAATAGAATAACAAAGTCACAGAAAGTTGCATCACGCCGTGTTACCTACTCATATCTGAGGATA